TTGTTAAGAAATAAATTTTGTTTCCTCTGATGTAGGTTTCTGTTCTTAGCCTTCTCCCTGTCCCCTTGCTTGTACTTATACAGTGTTTAGTTTTTCTTTCTTGGAGCCCTTATCCCCTTGAGAATATTCATGCTTAGACTGATAATAAATATAGGCAACATCCCACGTTCAAATTTATTCCCTTTCTGTGCATTTACAAAGTTAAGTATGTGTGTTCAGAGAGTGAAGAGGAGAGCAGAGAATTGGTTTTAGGCTTAAAGCTAGATTTTAGCCAAAGAAATTGTTCTGTTTTAGCTATTATGTAGTTATTAAATAGGGATTGGATCTCAATGGAAAGTCATTGTTGGTGATTAGTAAAAGTGAAAGCAGTGATTAGCAGGGCTAATTTGTTTTCTTGGGAATAATAAGGGAAGGTCCTGGATGCCATTTGGTTGCTGAAAGTAGGATAAGGGAACTTAAAGAATAAAAGCTATACTTTGGCTACTGTAGGTCCTGACCACTAGAATGTTTAGAAAAATCAATGGGTCAATGTAGCCTCACAAACTTCATTGCTTGTCCTCATCAATTCTGGGTTGAGACTTCTGTGGAATAGTCTAATGTTACAGTAACAAGAGATCTGGAGGTAAGGAGTTCTAGGCACTGCTCTACTACTGATGAATTGTTCATTTAAGTAAGTCAAATTTTCCTTGATAGACTGTAAATTTCTTCATCAACAATATGATGAGACTGACATGAAAGCTATTAAAAGATCCCTTTCTACTAGAAATTTTTATGAATTTTCAAGGAGGTATAATTGTAAATAATCTAGACAAAAGTTTGCTTTTTTAAAAAAGGAATTTGAGATTTCACCAAAATAGAATTAGTTAAAATTTTACTTAATTTAAGATAATTGCTGTATAACTTTTTTAAAGATGCTCTAAATCACAGTGACATTAACAATTTTTAAGTTGTCTTACTACCTTAATAGCACCACCAGCATTGGAGCTAATGTTTTTTTTTAATTTATATGTATTAATTTATTGGATATGTTATAGTACCTCAAAGTTTAATTTGTTTAATTATTTTCTAGGCCAACAATTCTTCCAAATGTTTTAGTATTTACATTCAGTGGCACATAAAGTTTCTACATTTAGTTTCTACATTTAGTGGTACATAAAGTCATGACCAAAACAGTGTTCTTGCTATATTAAGAAACTCAATGTAGCAGAAAATGTATTAAAATATATTGGTTATATAAGACCTTCATTATTCATAATTGCATTTAAATTACTCCAAAATTCTACCAATACAATAGGAGCTGTAATTTTCAAAACTTTACTTTTATACCTATTGAGTATTTCAACAAGAAAATTTGTGTGATGATCGGCTGTTTGATTTTTAAAATGTTTTAACAGATCAGTATTTATACTCTTTGCTACTTGTCAGCAATAAGACTTTAGAAATATTTGGAGAGTATATATACCATTGCATATTTACTGTCTTAAATTTTTTCAGTGAGTCTGAGGTAAAGTGGTGTCATAGTTTTAAAAATGACTATATCCTGACCACTTCTAGCAGTAGCAGGATTGTATTTATGCTGTTTTCTCATTCATCCTTTCTCCACACCATTCTAAGACACTTTATGAAATCTTGATTCAAATAAATTAGCTCCTTTACTTCTTCCTTGTCCCTTTCCCACAGACATACACATATCAAGGACCAAGTAAGTTAGGTAAATCTATGTCTGTGGCTGCTGCTATTAGTCTTTCATTAGTAGATACTCTATTTTGGTTACAGCTGTGGTTTCTTTTCTTGAGGTGCTTCCGATTACTACATTTCTTTTTAAAGATTTATTTAGTTATGCAGACAGAACTGCGGTACAGGCCAGAGGTGCAGGGGCAGTGAGAGGATTCACCAGAGACAGAGTGGGGAGCAGAACAGGTAGATCTACTGAAATATACTGCTGAGGGGAGCAGCAGGCAAGACAGGAGAGGTCTGCTGTGCCATGTGGGTCACCTCCCCAGCTAGGGATTGAACTCACTGACACAGCTGCAGCTAGCTTCTTAGTGCTGTGCTTTAACCCGATACGTCACCAGGGAGGGCCCTGATCACTACATTTCATCTTGCTTTCCTGCAAGTGTTTTTGAGTTACTGGAATTCCTGTGTGTGTGTGTGTGTGTGTGTGTGTGTGTGTGTGTGTGTGTGTGTGTGTGTTAGTCTCCAGCAATATAAAGCATAACACCTCCAAACTGGTACAATATAGTTTAGACTGTCTGTACGCTAAAAATTTGTTAGTTGCGTTACCTTTCCATTTTTTCTTTGTAATTATTCATAACTGCAACTTACCAAATTACTCAGGTTTTAGAAAAATGGTAATGGCATTTTGAGTCCCAAGTTAACAATACAGTATTATTATTGTCTTGCTCAGAAATTTTGTGTTACTTGATGAGTTCCCAGTAATAGCTTATTGTTAAGGATCTTATGTAACTGATTCTATTTAAATAGTGATTTTAAAATTTATAATAAAGGGAAGATACTTTAGTATTTTTAGTATTTAGTATTTTTTAACATTTATATGTATGGAATTTACTTGAATCTATGTTTAAGAGTTCTAAAATCGCTATATTTTTTCCTTTAGGAATGATATAATGCCTCCAAATGGCATGTTTTTCTTTCTTATACCTCTTGCTTCTATACACATTTACTTTGTTGTGTCCATATTCTTTTGTTTTCTCTCTGCCTTTCTCTCCCTATTGCTTTATTTTTCTTCAGTGTGTATCTTTTCTTTTTGGAGGTACTGGACTTTGAAAATAACACTTTGGCTCTTATGTATATGAAAACAATATATGCAATCATTGTATTGAAAATTATTGATAACAGAACTTTAGCAACAAAATCTCAGAAGTGTTTGATTGGAATTTATTGAAGCTCAATTTTTTTCCTTAAACAATGTAGGCTTAAAGAATTCATAAGGTGAGTTTGGCATCATTTTCAGAGAAACCTTCAGTAATGAGTAAGTAGTTTTTGTTTTTTATTTTGATTTTTTTTCTATCAGTAGTTTTCTGTATCAAATACAATATAATGTAAATTTACCAAAACTCTTAAGAATTTGAAATATAGTCACCATATAATGATTATGAGTAACAAGAGACACAAAATAATCTTTGAAAGAAAATGTCTTATGCTATGCCCTGGGGTCAGAACTAGCTCAATGCCTTTTATTACAGGCAGCAGCCTCTGTTAAGATTATGTATCAGTGATTCTCCCCAAACCCTCTTATCTGCAGATGCCCGAGACCAAGGATAGTACCAAACTCTGTATATACTATGGTTTTCCTATACATGCATACCTAAATTAAGTAAATTAGCATAGTAAGAGATTAACTAATAATAAAATATAAAACATACTAATATAAAATATAGCAAAGTTATAAGAGTGTTTCCTCTATCTCTTTTTATAAAAATATTGATTGTAGTAATATATGCATGGGACTTTTGGGGGAAAACTTTGAGTAGGATGAAGTATTTAGAAACTGGAAGGATGATAATAAGAAGGGAGATAGGAAAAAAGGTGGTTGGAGATAGAATAAAAGTATAGAAAGAGCTGTGAAAAAGTAGAACTAAATAAGAACTTAAACTCCTTTAAGTAAAAGCACAGGCTCCTAAAATAGTATCAGATCTTAGTAATTATTTATAAAACATTCATTGAATGAATTACTTAGTAATTTCTTATTTTGCCTAAGACGCTTATGGTTACGGTTGTTAGTTGCTAGATTCAAATCACTTAGCATATGTCTATTCTACATTAACAACTACAGTCTTTTAGTTAAGTGAGATTCAGAGTCAGAAGACATGTGTAGTGTAATATGCTTATAGATGATTATAAAGTGAAATATTCATTCACTTCAGTATTATTTTAAGCATCTACCTGTCATACTTTGGGTACCATACTTTGGGAACATAAAAATGTAGTACTGGTTATAGTTTAGGTTTGTATTTGATGGAACATTATGTAGTCATTTATTATTATTATGAAGATTATAACAGTTTATAAAATCACTTATTAAGTACTAAAAATACAATTTTTTCATTCTGTGTTATAACTGTCAATGTTGATTAGAAGAATTTCTAAGAGAAAAATCAGGAAACATGGTCAAATATAAACCTGATTTATTATTTTAAATGCAGTTGTTGAATTTCTTTTTATGTTTCTGTTTTGTACAGTTTATGAAGCTTAAGTGAGAATCAACATACATTTATCTTATATTGAAAAGTATGATGTGGGCCCTCCCTGGTCTTACAGCATGTTAAAGTGTAGCATGTGATCTGTAGCCACTACAACCTGGGTTGGTTCCCCAGCCAGGGAGGTGACCCACATGGCACAACAGACCTCTTCTGACCCACCTGCTGCCCCCCTTAGCAGTGTATTTCAGTAGATCTGCCTGTTCTGCTCCCCACTCTATCTCTGGTAAATCCTGTCACCCGCCACACCTCTGGCCTGTACCCCAGTTCTTGTATGCATAAATAAAAAAATCGTAAAAGTATGGTGAATTTACTAGAAATAGGAAATAAGAGTATTCTCAAAAAGGAAAAGAGCAAAACTATATTTGAAGGACAGTAGGTAGACTACCTTGTTTCAAAGAAAGCTAAGAGATGGAATTTAGAGAAAATATAGGAATGAGAGTCTCTAGTTCCATTTTGATGGTATAAGATAAGATGAACTTGACTAGGTTCTTACTTGGAGTTACATTTAAAAACAGGATATTTCTCCTAGCTTATTTAAGTGAGCTGGAGTGAGTGGAATTTGAATTCACGTAATGTGTTACCGATCATTTCTAAATACATTATTTGAAACTGTTTATCAAGACCCTATCTGAAGGACTTCTATACCTTTTACCACTTCATTAATAGTTTATAATTTTGTAAGACCTTTGTGTTCAGCCTTTTTGCTTGTTTGTTTGTTTATTACTGTATGTTTAAAACATTGCCAATGATTTCTGCAGCTATCTTCTCTTTTCTTAGAGTTAGCATAGGTAATAGACGCTTCACTACTTTGGCCCAATGGAGAGATAGAAGAACTAAAAAGGAATCAAAATTCATTGGACAGATTGAAAGAGAAAAAAAATCAGTCTTATTATTTGCTGAATGGGTAAGAACTTTTTATAAAAATGTTTTCTCAGTTTAGTTCTCATGAACCTTTTAGTAATAGAGAGCATAGATGTAATTTGAAGTGATATTAGTTAAACGGGTATCTGAAATTTAAAGATGGTTATAAACTTTTTCTGAACTACTTCCATATTTATATCATGTTGAACAAAGAAGAATTAAAGAACATCAATTTGTTAATGATGTAGCATTATTGTTACTTCAGCTTGAGTAAGGTTGAGTGGTAATGTCAAATGTTTGTTTTGTGGACCCCTTAGTTTCAAAAATATAAACAAATTTATCTTAAAAAAGTAGAAAGGAATTTATTTCCTCAACTCTTGGAGAATTTTTGTCCTGATATGATTTTTGGTGGCTTTTGTCACCAAAAATGCTTTGTCTTTATATGTATTTTTCGTGAGGATTTTAAATTTCATGCCCCAATGAAAGTCTTTTGGTTTAATGGCATTATTAGGAAATATTATTAACTATTCATTTCTGTAGTAAATATTTTCAATATTATTTTGCCTTGGGATTTTAAAAACAATGGCTGTTTTGCAACCATTCCAGGCCAGGGTTTACCATCAGTTTTAGCAATTTAAAAGAGGATTTTTGGAACCCTTGGTTTCATTTTCACAGGTTTTAATGGTAAGCAAGGGAAACAAGCCCACAAGGAGACAGCAATTGAATCCCCTACCCCAGGGTGATGCCACCCTTTTCCCCCCTCCCTCCTAGAAACAGGTGTGCACATTTGCACATGCGCACACACCCATGCTCAGTCATCCACAGTCAGGCACACCTGCCCCCCACACCCACTGCATTCTATGTTAACAAGATCAAGACTACAGATGATAGCCTCAGAGGCCAGTGGCTTTAAAAGCTCCATCAACTTTGTCAGTCTGCCTGTTCTGCTCCCCACTCTGCCTTATGTGAATCCTCTCCCCGCCATTGCACCTCTGGCCTGTATTCCAGCTGTGTATGCATAAATAAATCTTTAAAAAAAATTCTCTATGCATAAAAGCACATAAACACTATAGTAGCCAGTTATGTAACTTTTGACCCAATAATTCTGGAAGATACTTACCGGAAAGAAATAATGAGTTTTAACCAGAGATTTATTGTCAAAGTTATTCATCATAATATTTTTTTTCATCATAATATTTTTAAAAATCAGAAAATAAGTAGATGAGATTAACATAGAAATAGATCCAATGGTGGCATGTCCATAAACTTTTAAAAAGGCATTTAAAATTACTTTGAAAGATTATAATGAAGAAAAACAGGTAAATATAAAATGCTTTTAAGAAGTACTTTTGTTATTCTCCTCTTTTAGAAAAATGAATAGATGGTCATTTTGTGTAAAACTACTTTATTTTTGTGGGGCACCTGTTAAATGCAGTCAGCTGAGAGTGTTTAAAATCTAACAGTCTTCTCAAGAAAGCAGATTATTCCTTTCTCTTTCTTTCAGTCTAGGAAATGTTTTGAAAAATATAAACCCTTTGTTTTATACAGAAATCGTGTCTGTCAGGAAATTACTGCATAGGAGTCATATATATCAAAATAAAACAAGTAGGAATATTCAATCCTTCTTTAGGTTTGTTTTCTAAGTAAATGGGGAGAATACATAGAGTATATTTGAACAGTGGATGCAGATTCCATGAAATATGGCATGAAATCTGAAAACTAGTGACATTGGCAATATAGAAAATTAAATATTTATTGGTTGTATTAAAAATTATGATCATTTAGGGCCCTCCCTGGTGGCGCAGCGGGTTAAAGCACTGCACTGAGAATCTAAAGCCACTTCAGCATGAGTTCGATTCCCGCCTGCCCCGGAGGTGACCACATGGTGTGGCAGACCTCTCCTGACCCACCCGCTGCTCCCCTCAGCAGTGTACCTCCTCGATCTGCCTGTTCTGCTCCCCACTCTGTCTCTGGTGAAGCCTCTCACCTCCCCTGAGCCTCTGGCCTGTACCCCAGTTCTGGATGCACAAATAAATAAATCTTAAAAAAAAAAATTATGATCATTTAAATGAACAACTATAAACCAGAGACATCTTATGGGTGGGGGGAGAGGGAAATAGGATCAAAACTGGGGTGGGAAGAGTGTAGGGAACTACAGTGATGGCACATAGGTGAATTGGTGGTGGGAACTCCACGGGGATTATAACCAATAGAAAAAAAGCAAAAAATAAAGAGTGATGTAAAAATAAATAACTAAACAAATAAAAATTATAATAGTTCATTTGGCTTCAGATGTTTTATGCTCTGCAGAAGATGGCTGGTTATGTTAAACTAGCTTTTTCTCGTGTAATTGGAAGTATTTTTCTACTTTTTAAGTAGGAAAATGGGGCTCATTGTTCAAATAAATCCTGGGTTAAGCAAAGTTAATCAAATGCCTTATCAGAGAATGCTAAGACTAAGATTTTCATATAAATACACAAAATGGCATGTAGCATATAGATTTATTTGTTCATCAAATCCTTTCTTTGCACTTATTGGAACTAAGTCTAACATGAGATACATGTTGACAAATTCTATTATGTATTTTACTTTTTCTGTGACTATTACATAAGTAATGATAGTCATGTGGGATGTATTTTCCTTGTTAAATAAATAAGGGTTAAGTGATACTGGATGACTGAAGGAGATTTTGCTTTTAGTGTTTACTAATTCATAACAAATTCTACTTTATGTTATTTTTTCCTGGAATTTGTTTAAAGTTTGCATTATTTTTATAATCTCTGCCCTATTTTTATTTTGTGAATTTCTTCTTTTATACCTGCTGTGATCCACACAGGGTAAACTTTTCTTTGTGTTATATTATGGTTTTGGAGTAAGAGGCCATCTTCAGCTGGGTTTTATCTGTGAAAACCTGTGTGTAGGTTGTACCATCTAGAATTGTTTTGCATCTGCTTCCCCATAAGTACCACTAGTCTGGGAGCACATTTGTTGTTAAGGTTTCCATATGGAACTTCCTGGGCCAATGCAGATGATAATTCCAAGTGTGTGTAGCCCTATTGTTACAAATTCTAAAAAGAGATTTCCTTCTCTGTGTCTCCCCACTCATCCCACCATCATGCAGTGGCCACCCCCCACTTTTTTTTAAAAGCATACATTTTAAGGGTGTAAGTTACATATACTAGATGTTTATTAGGGAAGTGTGTTTATTAGATTTTTGTTCTTATTTGCTCACAAACCACTTATATTTATTTGGCTTACTATAGGCAAATACTAGTCTTTTACTTTTCTTTTAGATGTGACCTTCTGTAATGGAAGATGATTGAAGATAAGGGGCCTCGTGTTGCTGACTACTTTGTTGTGGCAGGATTGACTGATGTTTCAAAGCCTCTTGAAGAAGAAATTCACTTCAATGATGCATGTCATAAAGTAGCTAAACCTAAAGAACCTATCACAGATGTTTCAGTTATTATTAAATCTCTTGGGGAGGAAGTACCACGGGATTATATGTGTATTGACGTTACCCCAACTGGACTATCAGCTGATCTCAATAATGGAAGTCTTGTGGGACCACAGATTTACCTTTGCTACAGAAGAGGAAGAGATAAGCCTCCACTTACAGATCTGGGGTAGGTACTTTTTTTAAGGATTTTAAAATTTTTCTTATTGATGCAAATAATATGATGTGTATAGATTTTGGAGTTAATTGTTTAATAACAGTTATAAATGGATGCTTGAGTCTGTGTGCACCAACACAAGTAACACAAGTGGTAAATCAGTGCTTTACTTAGGGCATTATATTAATGGTGGGGCTCTTTTTTATGTATCAACTTTACTGAGATATAACTCACAAATCAGACAATTCACACATTTAAAATATAGAATTCCTCATTTTTAGTGCATTTTTGCTAACCCTCAGCACAATTAATTTTAGAACACTTTTGCCATGTCAAAAAGGAACACTGTACTGACTTCTGTCGTTCGAGTTGCCCCTAGACTCAGCTCTAGGCTACTTTCTGTCTCTATAGATTTATCTATTATGAACAGTTTATATATAGGGAATATGCTATGCATTTTTTACTACTGTGAATAATGCTATTGGAAATATTCATATACAAGTTTTTGTACAGACGAATGTTTTCAATTTGTATTTCCTTGTTTGGACAAATGTTTTCACAAGTAGAATTGTTGGGTCTGTTGGTAACTCTGTGTTTAATCATTTGAGAAACTGCCAGATTGTTTTCCAAAGCAGCCTTACCGCTTTGCATCCCTACTGGCAGGTTCCAATTTCTTCATATCCTGGCTAATATTTGTGTTGTTATCCTAATCAATGTGAAGGGGGCTATCTCATTGTGGCTTTGATTTGCATTGACCTGAGGATTAATATGTGGAGCACACTTTCCAGTGCTTTTTAGCCATCTATTTTTGGAGAACTATCTATTAGGAATCCTTGAGTTGGTCATTTTTTAACTGGGCTTTCAATTTTTGTTATTGAACTTTGAGAGGTCTTTACATATTCTAGATGCAAGCCTTTTATCAGATACATGACTGATAGATATGGAGAGATTGTCTTCCGACTTTATGATAGTCTGTAAAACTGAAGTCTGATTTATCCTTTTTTCTTGTGTTGCTTGTACTTTGACATCAGGTCTAAGAATGCTTTTATGAATCCAAGTCATGAAGAGTTACACACAAATTTTTGTTATAAGAATTTTATTTTTCGTCTTTACATTTGATTTTTGATACACTGAGTTAATTTTTGTAGATGGTGTGGGTGAAGAATTTAAAAGAAGTAAAGATTAGCCCTTTTTCCCATTGCTTTGTTGTAAAATGAAATGGGTTTCACTTAACACATTTTAGTTAAAAATAAAGGAAATATCTGATGTCTCAGCTAATGACATCAAAAGGGGATACAGGCTATCCCTGGTGGCGCAGTGGGTTAAAGCACAGACTGAGAAGCTAAAGCCACTTCCGCATGAGTTCAGTCCTGCCTGCCCGGGAGGTGACCACATGGCGCCAGACCTTTCCTGACCCCGCCTGCTGCTCCCCTCAACAGTTTACTTCGTTGATCTGACTTTTCTGCTCCCCTCTGTGTCTCTGGTGAAGCCTCTAACCCCCCCCTGCACCTCTAGCCTGTACCCCAGTTCTGTATGCATAAATAAATCAATCTTCAAAAAAAGGGGAGTGGCTACGGCAGTTCCATGTCCTATGCTGTCTGAAAGGGGATCATCATGTTTAAGGGAGATATGATGAAGTCGAAGAGCTCTTAAATTTTCTTCTACTTTTAAAACTCTGTCATCTAATGTTTGATATTAAACTTGTATTAAAAATCAGTCTTTATTGGCCCTCCCTGGTGGCGCAGCGGGTTAAAGCACAGCACTGAGAAGCTAAGACCACTTCCGCATGAGCTCAATTCCCGCCTGCCCCGGAAGTGACCACATGGTGTGGCAGACCTCTCCTGACCCGCCCGCTGCTCCCCTCAGCAGTGTATTTCATTGATCTGCCTGTTCTGTTCCCCACTCTGTCTCTGGTGAAGCCTCTCGCCGCCCCTGAGCCTCTGGCCTGTACCCCAGTTCTGTATGCACAAATAAATAAATCTTTAAAAAAAAAATCAGTCTTTATCATACTTAGTGAAATAAGCCAGAAAGAAAAGGAAAAATACCGGATGGTTTCTCTCATAGCAGGAATATAACGGAACAGGTGAGAAAATAATGATGATGAAGAACACCTATATACCAGAGACATTTTGTGGGGGTGGGGCGGGGAATGGGATCAAAAACAATGGGGGGAGGGAAATACACTGGACTATGGTGAAGGCACATGGGTGATCTGGTGATGGGAACCCAAAGGGGATTGCAAATGAAATGGAAAAATGCACAAAAATATGTAAAAATAAATTATTATAAAATTTTTTAAAAATCAGTCTTTATTCTGTTAGTTCATGAACTGCTTGCAGTGATTTTAAAACAATTGCTTCATGTAAAGTTTACATAGTAAGTGACTTGGGAAATTTAACCCACTGTTAGATCCTGTTTTCAATAAGTTTCTATAACCGCTTACCAGCCCCCAAATTCTGGCTTGTGGATAAAGTAGACACAACATTACAGGTTCTCGTTGAGGTGTTGGAATTCCCTCATTTAAAAATGAGGAATTTTCCTACCATAGGAAGAATTCTCCCATAGAAAAGGACTTAACCTGGGGTGAATAAGCTAACCACTCTGATAACTATACTCATGTTTGTCTTTATGGACATCATTTTAGCCTTTAAAATGCTTACAGCTTAGACAAGACTAGTTACTTAACAACATAAAAACAAGTAATATATACAACTGCACAATATCTGATTAAAGGAAATAAGCATCTTATGTATTAAATGTATTCCCTATCCTTTAAGAATTTGAGGTAGCGAGTGCTACTTTGTTGAGAAATAATAGATATATAACATTAAGTCAATTTCATGAATACATCATGATGGTTCCATATATCATTAATTGATCACCACAACATCCGTCACTGTTTATAGTTACTAATTTTTTTCTTGTGATGAGAAATTTTAAGATCTGCTCTTTAGCATTCTTCAGTAGGCAATGGATTGTTTTTTAACTATAATAACTATGCTATACATTACATCCTCCTGATTTGTTTTATGACTGGCAATTTGTACCTTTTAGTCTCCTTCATCCACTGTCTTTCTGAAGATTAGAAAAGAAAGAGCAAGGTCAAAAGGAGGAAGAGGAATAAGCAATTAATATTAGGATGAACAAACACAGTTGCTATGATTAAGCATTAAAGTTTAGCTCTGAAGTTTCCAAATAAAATGTTGAGAGAAATTTTTTTAATTGCTGACAACTGTGATATAAAGAGAAATTATAAAAATGTATCCAGAAGAGGTAATATGACCAGTCTCTGTGACTAAATTTTAATTGTGTAATAGGATTTTATATTGATTGATAGTTATTTTATAGAAAATGCAGGGGTTTTATATTGATTGATAGCTATTTTATAGAAAATGCAGGCATATTTTATATAATAAATCTTTAAAAATATTCTTGACTAATGCTAAGGGTGTAGCATAAAAGTACAAATCAAGCATTCTGTGAAAAAGTAAAGATGTTTGTTAAGTATGATGTTTTCGTTGTGCCTCAAATACTTTAACTATAGTATTCAGAAGATTTAAGGAATGGATACTGACATTCCCTTTATTAAAAGCTTATAATTTTACTGCAATGAAGAAGGAAAAAAGCCAATGTCTTTCATCCAGCCTTTTTTTTAATGATAGACTTGAATTTATTTTCTCTTTGAAAGTCTAAAACTCTTCTCTTAAACCTGAAGAATTATTGGAAGTAGAAGTGTACAAGCAGGTTCTGTACTTGTCAGGTCAGAAGCTTTTTGGAAAATTTTAACTTTGGTCAGAAATACAAAATTTCCTTTTCTGAAGAAGGTTTTAGAGACGGAAAAAATAAATAAATAATTCTATTAAATGGAGCACTTAAGCAAGTACCTCGGTGTCTAATTATTGCCATTTTGTGGTTTTATGTTAACAAACATAACAATTCATGTGAATTGTCTTGCTTTAGTTTTATTTTGGTGGGGAAAACAGTTAATGCTCTAATTTTACAGGACTGTGCAATTCAAACATGGAGTACAAGTGGAATATTTTTATTACATTTAAAGATCAGCTCTTGATACCTGACAATATATGAGGATACTTTGGATTTGTATATTTATTACTTTTTGATTTATTTTTTAGGGTTTTATATGACTGGAAAGAAAGATTGAAGCAGGGCTGTGAAATTATTCAGAGTACTCCCTATGGACGCCCAGCAAATATTAGTGGTAATACCTCATCACAAAGAATTTATATCACCTACCGTAGAGCCTCTGAAAACATGACTCAGAATACATTGGCTGTCACAGACATATGCATTATTATACCCAGTAAAGGAGAAAGCCCCCCACATACATTCTGCAAAGTTGACAAGAATCTCAATAACAGTATGGTAAGTAACTCTTTTGTACTGATAAAATTAGCCACCAAAGAAGAAAACATACTTTAAAAATAAATCTTTATTTGGAAAACAGCATAGCCAGTTACTGAATTAAATATGTTTTTAAGAAAGTACTTTAATTGTATTTTCAAATGGAGCTTTTTTTATTATTATTATTAAAATAAAGATGACTTTTCTCCTCTCCAAGAGTAATGCATGAGCCAAGGTTAATTACGTGTGTGCTAAATCTTACATATTCTTACCTAATTCCCTCTTAACTTACTGAAGAACATTAGTTAGTAATTCTCTTTACTTTTTTGTGAATCATCAAATTTCTCTTGCTACTAGATTATTCCTTTTAGCATGTTACAATATCTCCCATCTTTATAAAATTTCTTGAACCTCCTCCATCTGTTGTCCCATTTCATTTTTCTTTTCAGTAAAATGTCTCCAAAGAGTTGACTGTATTCTTTCCCCTTCCACACTTTGACTCTTTCATTTAGACTTTTGTCCATTATCCCATCAAGATTGTTCTTGGTGTTGAATTAGGTTAGTTCTTAATTTTAACTTTTCATTAGGTTTTGATTGCCACAGATGATCACTTCTTTATGAAACAGTGGCAGGAAGAATAGATAATCTCTTTCTTTGAACTCACCCTTCCTATCTTCCTACCTCACCATTTATTCCCTTCCTGCTTTTCCTACCTCCCTCCTTATCTAATAAATGGAAATTCTACTCTTCCACTGAAAAACCTTGGTGTATCCTTAACCTTTCTCTTCTATTCATTCAGTTCTACAAATCCTGTTGACTGTAATTTCAAAACATCTTGAAGTTCACCAATTCCTCCTAACTTCTATTGCTACAACCCTAGTCCAAACCATAATCATCTCTTAATGGGATTATTACAATAGTCTCCTAATTGAGGAGTCAAGCAAACTTTTATGTTAAGGATTATATAACAAATTAGGTTTTATGCAGCTATTAACAGTCTCCTTTGTACAGTTTTCCCCCCACAAGAACCATTTAAAAGTAAAAATCATTCTTAGCTTAGGTAGAAGCAGGCCCTTGAGTCTAATGTGAGCCATAGTTTGCCAGACCCTTGGTCTAACTGTTCATTGCTTTCTCTTCTTCCTACAACCTATTCTTTACTTAGCTATAAATGCAATCCTTTTAAAACATAAATAAGATTGTTTCCTCTGCTTGATGGCTTCCCAAAGACAAAGTCCTTCTATTTAAGATATGCATGATCTGTAATTGTCTTTTTATTTGTTCTTTTATGGTTGTTTTCAGTTTTTAAAAGAAGTATATTCAAAGAAAACCAAGAGGGGGAGCAAATGTAGGTCTATGACATAAAAAGTGTAAGTTCTTACTCCTACTTCCATCTTTTGTAACCCTTTACTGAGGGTGACAATTAACAATTTGACTTGTGTCCTTACAGTCCTTTTTATGTGCACATACGTGTAATATAAAATAATTTTCATGCTTATTTTTTTAAAAATTGGAAATATTATGTATCTGCTATAGGCTTTTTTAATAAAAATTTATTTTAATTTACTTATACATATAATAAGTAGAGCGTAGGACAGATGTGCAGGGGATGAGAGGATTTACCAGAGACAGGGTGGGGAGCAGGCAAGTCTACTGAAATTCACTGCTGAGGGGAGCAGTGGGCAAGACAGAAGGTCTGCTGCACCATGTAAGTCAGCTCACTAGCCAGGGAAGGATCTCATGCCACAGTGGCTGGCGATAGCTTGATTGTGCTGTGTCTTAACCCTTGTATCACCAGGGAGGCCTAACAGAGCTTTTTTTCACTATCAATCTAAATCTAAAAGATTACTGTAAATCTAAAGGATTAATTCTTTTAATGGTTATACAGTATTCCAGAAAATTCACATTTTTCCCTTTACTAATAATGCTGCTTTTATCAATTCTTTTTTTCTTTTGTCTCTAGAAGAATAAGTAATTGTAACTACTTAATGGGTTGGGTCCTCTGTACATTTGGAAAAGTGTTTTAAACTCCTATTAGTCATAATGTAAGAATGCCCTTGCCGGTTCCCACACCTCACCAACACTGATTGGTGTTAATTATTCTAAATAAAACAGGAATTTTTCTAATTTTATTTTGTAAGAATTATTGTAATTTTAATTTGCATTTCTTTGATTATAGGGGCAGTTCTAATATATAATACATTGAATGGCCAAATATGACTGCATTAAATGGCTATACCAAAATTCATTAAGTTCATCTTCTGTTGTAGGACATTTAGACTCTGATTTTTTTTAATGTTACAAGCAAAGCTTTTAGTAACATAATCATAGCTAAATATTCCATAAAATAATTTATATTTATGGTGCTGTTATGTGTATACACTATTCTATGTATTTCACATCCATTACTCAGTTAATCTTCTCAACCAGTAGTATTTTACCCCACTTTACAAAAAAAGGAAAATTGAGAGTTAAAAGATGGTTACTTGCCCACCTTTTCAGTAAGCAATTGAACCAGCATTCAAACCCAGACTATAGTACCAGGGAACCAAACTTTTCAACACTACTGCACTGCTTAATAGAGCCTGAGATATATATGGATATATATATATATATATATATCCTGAGATATATGTAAATATCCTGAATCAAAGCATATATTTACTTTTAAGATTTTACCAGGAAAAACAAAACTATTTTATATTCCTACCAACAAAGTATGAAAGACATGATTTTTTTGTAATTTTGATAATTGAACTTTTAGTCACAATTTTAAAAATGTAATTATTTTTTAAGATTTATTTATGCATACAGAAGCAGGGTACAGGCCAGAGGTACAGGGGTGGTGAGAGGATTCACCAGAGACAGAGTGGGGAACAGAACAGACCGACTGACAAAGTACACTGCCGAGGGGAGCAGCGAGCAGCCCAGGAGAGGTCTGCAACTCCATGTGGATCACCCCAGGGGCGGGGATCAAACTCATGCTCAAGTGGCTTTAGCTTCTTAGTGCTGTGCTTTAACCCGCTGCACCATGAGGGAGGGCCTAAAATTTAATTTCTTTATGAACCTAGAGCCGTTTCATACATAGTCCTGTTATGACTATGTAAATTTACACTTTGCTAAAATTTAACAGGTTTTATATATACCTTGTCATTTATTGTATTTTTATTAGAAGCTGATTTATTTATCAAACCTCTCCTTTTCATTTAGCAACATGAGAAACACTAAAGATTCAGATAAATCTAGAGGAGAGAGAACTATAACTATTGATATGTGACTAAATACAGTGCAAGTTTGGGTACCCTGAATATGTTTTTGACCCCCTTAGTAAGATAGCAAAATAAATCTGTACTGTATAGTGATTCTGTATTATATAGCCTAGTGGTTGGGAACACAGCTCTCAAGCCATGGTATCAATCTTATCTCTGACTTTTATTGACTGTATGACCTTGAGCAAGTAACTTACCTCTTTGTGCCTCAGTTCCATGATTATGAAATGAGGAAGATAATAGGATCTACCGTATGAGTTATTGTGATGATAAATTTAAAGCCTTGCTTCAGTACATATAAGAAAGTAGTGTGTGTGAGTTAAATTGTTATCTGTAAGCATCAATTCTAAATTTTCTTGAGTAAAAATCTGCAATTTTAGTAATAGCACTATTTGTTTTAAGTAGATAATTGAAAAAAATGAAACTTGACAGTATCTAAATCTCTTAAAAGAATTATTTGCAGTTCTGTGACTTTCTAATTAGATGACCTCTTTTGCACAAGTCATTCACATATAAAAAGCCCTGTGTTTTGTACTATCCTTGTATATTGTTTTGATTTGGTGATAACATGAGTGAGAGTGGAAGTGAAGAAAGATTATGGAGATGATGGAGGGGAAAGATCCATGGGAGCAGATAAGAGGTATACAGACTTTATATGGTAGTGTTTGTGATGACAAGAAGGGTTTTTGTGTTCTTCTATGATGTGATTTTCATTAATAGATAATCTCAAATTCAAGGGCCCTCCCTGGTGTCACAACCGGTGGTTAAAACACAGTACTATGGGCCCTCCCTGGTGGTGCAGCGGGTTAAAGCACAGCACTGAGAATCTAAAGCTGCTTCCACATGAGTTCAATTCCCGCCTGCCCCCGAGGTGACCACATGGTGTGGCAGACCTCTCCTGACCCGCCCTCTGCTCCCCTCAGCAGTGTACTTCGTCGATCTGCCTGTTCTGTTCCCCACTCTGTCTTTGGTGAAGCCTCTCACCGCCCCTGAGCCTCTGGCCTATACCCCAGTTCTGTATGCACAAATAAATAAATCTTTAAAAAAAACAACACAGCACTATGAAGCTACCCACAGCCACTGCAGCAAGAGTTTGATCCCCTGCCAGGTTGTTGATCCACATGGCACAGTAGACCTCTCCTGCCTCACCCGCTACTCCCCTCAGCAGTGTACTTCATCAATCTGCCTGTTCTGTTCCCTACTCTGTCTCTGGTGAATCTTCTCACCGCCCCTGCACCCCTGGCTTATATTCCATTTTTGTATGCACAAATAAATAAATCTTTATTAAAAAATAAAAGATCATCTCAAATTTAGTTTGATATTTTAGCAAGACTATACAGACTCACAGATAGTTGCCATTTTCCCACTTGTTAATTTTCTATTTATTTTGTAAGTGTGTCAGGTTTGTATTGAAAGTAAATATTGTCACTAGAACTATTTCTAGTTTATATTAGTTAATCAAAGTCAGTAGACTAATTGCATTGAAACTAAAGTCAGAGATAATGGTTTCTATTATTCTATACCCTGAAACATTGGTGTCAGTATTGTCAGATGACACTTATTCTCTACTAAAGAGTATAAAGAGGAAATGTAGTGTATTGAATGGACTCCAGCTAAATCACTGGATTTGAATTCCAAATGTGTGTCTTGTACAAGTCCATGACTTTTTTGTTCCTCAATTTCCTTATTCATAAAGTAGGGACAAAATTAGTACTTTATTTTATAGGTTTGTGTGTGTATGTGTATACAGTATGTAAAATAGTGTGTGCTTGGAGGGGTAAAAGTGCAAGATGGGGCAATAGGGAGGGCTGGGCAAGGAAGAGGGAGGCTTGTTACTATTTGTAAGGTGGTGAAGGGAAGGTTCTCTAATAGAGTGATGTTTGAGTTGAAGCCTGAAGGAGGTAAGGAAGTGTGCAGTAGATCTATCCGTTCCCACTTATATGTCAGGTGGTGACATTTGGTAAGTCACGTCTCATTTCATACCTCTTCTTTAGCTCCATTTGAGCCTTCACTTGGATATCTAATGCATGTTTCAGACTTAATATATCTAAAAATGAAGTCTTTTACCCCCAGATCTGCTTCACCTGCTATCTCCCCCATCTCAGTTGCACTGGAAGTAGAAATTTGAGACTCCTTTTTGAGTAACTGTTATGTAAAACCCTAGGATGGACGTATGAGATCATTCTGAGAAAGTAGAGATCACATGTAATGATCAGGAACAGAGAAAGGATCCCACAAAGGAGGCTGAGGAGTAACCAGAGGTTAGGTGGCATCATACCTGCAAAAGCCTAGAAAAGAAAATGTTCAAGAAGGGAACCATGAATGCTATCAAAAATCCACTGAGAGCTTTAATAAAATAAAGACTGGGAATCAACCATTAAACTTGACATAACTAAAGTTAGGGTATTCTTTTAAGGAACAGTGGAATTAAAATCTGATTTGAAATGGATTCAGGAGATATTGGGAAATAGAAAGATGAATACATAACTAATTACAACTCTTGGGTTTTGGTATAAAAAGCTGCTGAAAAACCTGGCAATATTGAAAGCGATTGTGGAGTCAAAAGAAAAGTGTACCCATGACTAGATATTTTTTAATCATTTTGCCCAATATCTGGGCTTAGAATAAAATCTAAATTGTTGTGACTTAGTTTTGTTTTAAAGGGTCAAGTTTCACTCTTGTTACTTCTATTGCAAGGGGAAAAAATGTTAAATTTTACTTTTGGAAGTGGGTGATAATGCCAACTGAAATAGCCAACAGGAAAATCTATTAATAGATCTTAGATAATAGTTTTGGAGAGATCAAAGAGACTCCATTTTTAACTTACTATTAAAAATTAAATATTTCCTTTTTTCCTTTTACTTTAGTGGGGATCAGCAGTGTATTTATGTTATAAAAAATCTGTGGCAAAGACTAACACTATATCTTACAAAGCTGGTAAGTACCCTTTTTCATTAAATACTTGATATATAGATGTATTGTGAAGGCCAGAAAGCTTCAAGGTAAAAAACCAAAAACCATCTTGATAGGTTAGTGTCAGAACTGGACTGCAACCCATGTCTTTTGATTCTGCTTTGTCTTCATCCATGTATTTATTAGGTGCTGAATAGAGGGTTAATTTAAATGAAAGCAGTGTTTTTTAACATTGGGTTTAAATGAATAAGAAGAAAATGTCAGTTCTCTTAAGTTTTTTAATCAGTAGGGAATTTTTTTAAATAATATAATAGTTTATTTTTACATCATTTTGTGCACTTTTCCATTTCAGTTGTAATCTCCTAGGGTTTCCCATCACCCAGATCACACATGTGCTATCACCATAGCAGTAGGGAAAATATTTTACTTTTAAATTAATGTTTTTTGAATATGTTAAACTTAATCAAATCTGTAGTTCACATATGTTTCATAGTAATATGAAATATTATAAACTAATTTGTGACTTTATAATACATAGTTAAAATTTTCAACTGCCAGGAAAATCAAAATATGAAACATTCAGTACTGATCAAGAGAAGAGATTTAGCCTTAAATGTATATATTTTTTAAATGAATATCCTAGACTCCTACCTTTTTCTTTTATACTTGATTTTTCAAGAATCCACAATTCATTATTTCTATTCTTAAAGTTTTTACTATTACCTCTTTCCCTGAGAGAATAGCAATGTACTATAGATTCTCATGGGACCTACTGTTGACTAACATATAACTAGGAATTCTAAACTACCTTCCCCTTAGTATATGTAGCTCACCTCACTTTATAGAAGAGAAAAACAGACACCTACAGGGATGTGACTTATGCATATTCACATAGGTATTAGAGGCAGAGCAACTACCCTTATTTCCTACCATTTCATTTTGTCTTTAAATTCATATCTAATAATGGTTTTCATTAGCTTTAAGAGTTCAAGTTTAGGGAACCTATTTTCTTTTTCTAGTCCCACAAAATCTATACAAGTCCTACTCTGAGGATGTATTCAACTGAAGATGCCTGGATCACTATGTAGACTAGTCTACTTAACATAAAATCATAGGCCACTTGAAACTTTACTTCATATAATCCAGGATTATTCAGAAGCCCAATTTGAGTTGATACTATTATGAAAACATTCTAAGTATGTGGTGTTTATATTTTATGATTATTTTTCTTATGTTTATGCTAAAAGTTATATATATACTCCAATGGGATATCTGTTTTAAATATGTAAAATGTAAACCTTCCAACTCCAACTTGGGGGAAACTTATTAAGAGTTAATGAAGTGGATCTATATAGTCATCACTACTGAAAATTTTAACAGTATAGTCATATCCTTTAAAATAATGTAACCACAAACGATTTTAGGAGTGTGTGTGTGTGTAGAGAATACCTTTCTTTGTTTGCCTTATATTTACTAGTCTTTGTAGATGATGCTCAAAATGTTAACGATAAATTATTCCTATATATAGTTATAATGTTTTTTTTCAAGATTTACATATTTATACATACAGAACTGGGGTACAGGCCAGAGGTGTGGGAGTGGTGAGAGGATTCACCAGAGACAGAATGGGGAATAGAACAGGCAGATTGACTGAAATACACTGCTGAGGTGAGCAGTGGATGGGTCAGGAGAAGTCTACCGCACCATGTGGGTCACCTCCTTTGCCAGGAATCGAACTCATGCTGCAGTGGCTGCAATCAACCAGGGACAGTGTGATTAGTTACAATGTTTAAGGATTAACATCTGTGTGAAGCATTAAAACTTTCAGTTAATCTTTTGAACATGTGGATAATATGTAAACCTTCCAGATGTGTTAAATAATAAAAGTTTAGTCTCATTCAAATTATAAGCTTCTACATTTGAGAGACAGCAACCTAATGTTTATTGTTGTTTTTATAGGTCTAATTTGTCGATATCCTCAAGAAGATTATGAGTCATTCTCACTCCCAGAATCTGTCCCCCTGTTTTGTTTACCAATGGGTGCAACTATTGAATGTTGGCCACCCAATAGCAAATATCCTCTTCCTGTATTTTCTACTTTTGTGTTAACTGGAGCCTCAGCTGAAAAGGTACTGTGTGTTTTATCAAATGATATCTGTAAATAGCATGTATATTTTCTTAATTTCTTAAGTTTTATATAATGAAGAAGCAGTTTAAAAAACTGACTAAATTGAATCTAGTATACGTGCTTCTTCCATTTGCTTCTAGTATTGATTATCTGGAGACAGAAAAAGAATTTTCTATTTTGTATAACTAAATGCTTTTTGTGTGTGACTGTGGTGAAACTTTTTAATCACAAAATATAAGTATTGTTTCATTTTCTGAATTACAGACACATTAAATGTAATAAAAAAGACATAAATATGCAATGCTGTTTAAAATCAGAGAGTGTTAAAGTTAAAAAAAAAAAACCTTGGTAATGACCTCTAGTTTACCTCCTCATTTTGTAAATTGTAAAATTGAGGTCCAGAGGAATTCAGTGAATTGCCTAAACTTAGAACTTGTATTTTCTTATTTAAATTCTGTCCCTCTATCTACTAAATAGTTATTTTCCATTTTTTTAGAGAATATTGATAAAATTACTTTCACTCTTTATATAAACCAAGTACAATTTAATTAAAGCAACTTTCCCCCAATAATGAGACGCATCACAAATGATATGATTTGAATAAATGATATAAGGTATAATTATTTTATATTTTCCAGGTCTATGGTGCTGCTATTCAGTTTTATGAACCATATTCTGAGGAGAACCTCACAGAAAAACAGAGACTTCTTTTGGGTCTAGCATCACCAACGGATGGGAAGTCTGATAGTTCCAAAACAATTCACACTAATAAATGCATCTGTCTTCTTTCTCACTGGCCTTTTTTTGATGCATTCAGGAAGTTTCTGACTTTTCTGTATCGTTATTCCATCTCTGGACCTCATGTTCTTCCAATAGAGAAGTAAGTTAGAAGTCTTCTTGGTTCAGAGTTTGGCAGGCCTGTCCAATATGTGATATATACATAGTGATAATCAAATATATCTTATATGGAAACTAGATTTCTTAACAGTTATTTGAACAAAGTGGGTTTGGCTATTTCAGTCAGGTTTTATTTCATTATGCTTTTATAGTTATGTTATTTATAATGTTACTACTAGCAAAATGAAATAGACATTTCACTTTTGATGCTCTAGGGAAGTTTGGAGATCTTAATTAGTATTTTAAGTGTTGTAATTTTTATCTTGTCTGTAATTTGGATTTCATATGAACCTTCAAAAAAATTTCTGCTGTTTTTAGATGTCATGAACTTAAAGACAAAACTAGCTCTACACTTTTAAAATATATTTTAGTGATTTACTTTAACTTCACTAAAACTGAATGTTTTATGCAATGATCGATGTAAATGAGATATAGATATCTCCATTGTCTTTCTGACTATTGTTTATTTTAGTACATCTATTACTTAAGCTCTTTTGTGTTCTTATACAGAATTCTCAACTCTGATGACACTTGAGAAGTGATATAATTATAAGAACATATGGTACACACTAGTCTATAATTTTTCCATGTACTTTTCTGCCTTTTTCTCAATATTCTAATGTAGCAGATCCCAAATTTTTTTGGTCTCTAAATGAATGCCTTTATACTTTTAGAAAATGAGGACCCTAAGAGTTTTTCTTTATGTTTTATATATGTGGCTACTTACTTATAGAAATTTTAAATGAGAGCTTTAAAAATATATATATATATATATATATTTTTTAAAGATTTATTTATTTGTGCATACAGAACTGGGGTACAGGCCAGAGGCTCAGGGGTGGTGAGAGGCTTCACCAGAGACAGAGTGGAGAGCAGAACAGGCAGATCGACGAAGTACACTGCTGAGGGGAGCAGCGGGCGGGTCAGGAGAGGTCTGCCGCGCCATGTGGCAGGCGGGAACGGGAATCAAACTCATGCGGAAGCGGCTTTAGATTCTCAGTGTTGTGTTTTAACCCGCTGCGCCACCAGGGAGGGCCAATATATATATTTTTTAAGATAATAAGCTCATTGCATGATACTGTAAGATTCTTGGTTGGGGGGCAGGCGGTGCAAATAATTTTTCCCAAACAAAATTAGCGAAAATAACATTGTTATTTTAAGTCTTCACAAATCTCTCACAGCTGACTAAATTGAGCACAGCTAGATTTTCATATATATTTCTGCATTCAATCTGTTGTACAGTGTTTTGGTTGAAGCATATGAAAAAAAAAACAAAAAACCTGGCCTGAAAAGATATTTTGGTAGAAAAGGGAGGACATTGAATAGGCTTTTCTTTTTTGACACTGCTCTAAAACTTGACTATGTAGTTTCTTATATAGAGTTTCACATTTGCAGTATGAAATCTGAAACTTTAGCAATGAACATTAACATATATTAGTCCATGTCTTTGAGTGGAACTTTGACACATGTATGATTTTGTAGCCCTGGGTACTGATATTTTGCAAACTAGTGGTTCACTAAGCTAATGTAGATATAACTTTCTTATCAATAAAAAAATTAAAATTTTTATTACCAGAAAAATACTTTTTAGTATTAAAACTATCAAATTCATGTTGAACTTGATTCTAATTCTGATTTTCAGTTGAAAACTTGAATTCAGTTATTGACACGAACCATAAAATATTTTTTTGAAACAACAGACATACTTCATTTATACCCAATATTGTATAACTTTGTCAGTTGTTCTTTCAAGAATAAATTGCACTTTGTGAAAAACAAAACAGCTAATTCACTCACAATTCAGTCATAAAAGTGCTTTTCTTCAGGAAAGCCATCATCCTTCTACATGCTCCAGAATTGCTTTATGCTTTCTTTTCTTTATTACATAGATTAAAAGAAATTTAAGTAATCACATAGATCATTTAATAAAAGTTATAATATTCACTGCTTCATCAAAGACATTCCTAAGTGAAACTAACCTTTTACTGTAGGAGTGTATTGACAGTAGTTAAGAATACAATCATTACAACAGTTTGTCACCGCTGCCTTGATGGGAAGGTACCAGTAATTTTATCAACACTGCTTTTACACCATCAGTGCAAATACCAAAACAGTGGAAAAGCAAATGGTGTCTTAGTATTATAAAAATAATTTGACCTTGCAGATTCTCCCTGCATAACTGCAGGGAGTTTTGTTCATGGATAATACTTTGTTTTCTATGGTTTTAAACTCTAGGTAATTCATGCATATTTTGTGTTCTCTGGTACTGTATCTTCTTTCTCTTTAGAGAGTGAGTTAATTTAGTGGTAGAAACTGGTAGCTATATACCTGCTTTATACTTCCTATCACCACTAACAGTGGTGATACCACTGTCATTACTATACGTAGCAAAGAGTCAGAACATATTTGTAAAATTAATAAAATCCTCTTCCAGTGTTCCCTGTCTAGTTGAAGTTATCTCAGTCTGAATAATGTGAAAATAATGTTTACCAGAGAAGTAATGCAAAAACAAAATATCTTATCCCTAAAAAGTTTTTCATTGTTGCTGCCTTTTTCCCACAGTATTCAAAATAAAACCTATCTATCTAGATTTTTATCCATTTTCTTCTAGGGGAAAAAAAACATTTAAATCAATAATGGATTTTTAGCTTATTGTTTATAGAAAATATATGTTCATATTTTAGGAAGTTAAACTCATATTTCCAGAACACTCTAGTTTTTGTTTTGTTTTGTTTTGTTTTGTTTTCTTTTCAGATATTTGCTAAGTGTGAACAACTGACTAAAAAATCTTCTTTAGTAATGTCATATCTCTGATATGTTGTATATTATTTATTTAGGAATGTAAATGTCAAAATAACTTTGAGACATTGGTAATATAAACATTGTTCATTGATGATGAGCTACTGTTAATATGAAAAGTAATTGTATTTAAGTAGAAGCAACTTTAGTGGTATGTTTGATCCTTGGTGGTAACTTGTCCACTTGTTTTCTAGGCTAGGAATTTTGAAGTACTTTTGACTCAACTTGTACCTAAGGTGACATGTTGACCTTTTTTGCATATGGTATTCCCTTTGGAATCAATTGAGTTTTTGTTTTGTTTTTAAGGCATATTTCTCATTTTATGCATAAAGTTCCTTTTCCATCTCCTCAGAGACCACGGATTTTAGTTCAGGTAAGGCTTTATTCATAGAAGTGCCTTTTGTTACGATTATTGGCTCTCTCAAAGTATATAACATAAGAATAGTAACTTTAAACGTGGAAAAAGTTCTAAAGAGAATTAGATGTTATTTAATGTTGGAGTTTGAGACCTTACTGTTTTACTAGCTGCCTCGTAGACAAACATCTAATGTTTGTCCTCAGATAAAGGATTGAAATCTTTAAACATAGACAGCAGCAGCCATTTTGAACACACACACAAAAAGACTACTTTCCTAAAATGTGTTCCAGGTATTTGAAACTGCCTTTGGCAGTTATTGTCTAGTTAAATGTATTTGCATAGATAGAAGAAAAAGTTCTGTGTTTCATATGCTATAGGAAGGAATGCTCATATCTTTGTAACTGGGGGAAGTTTAAAATGAGCATTTATTACTTCTACATCTTTCTTCCCAGTTGACCATATCTTTGTTTACATTCCTTTTTGTTTGTACTGTGGATATGTAAGTTGTCTAATTATTTATTCAATGAGTATGTAAAGTATGTATCATTGTTGTATTATCTTATGTTACAGCCTGTAAAGAATGTTATTCAAAATTAGAAATCATTTTGGCAAATATATATTAACAAATTTGTGGAAATATGTATAACTGAAAATATAAGTTAAAACAATTGCATTATTATGTTACATGGAAAATGTCTAGAAAAATCTCATTTTGGTTAGCTTTTTAATTAGTGTACATATCCACATAATATCCCATATTATTCTTTGGTATTTTGTGCTAGAATATGTATAACACATAAGTTTGATACACATGAAAAATTTGTTTTACAGTAGAAGTCAACAGATTCTGCTGAATGCCAAACAGTAAATATTTCTACCTTAAAAGGCCATTCTGTGTCTATTAAAACTACTTAACTCTGCTATTATAACCCAAAAGCAGTTATGGATAATATATAAGTAAATGAGCATGGTTGTGTTCCATTAAAACTTCATTTTTGCTAACATGGGGCCTGTGGATTTGCTTTAGAGGTCATAGGGGTGCTGACCCTAATATTATGGTATTGAATGACATATCGTCTTGTGATACAAATTTAAAATATTAAAATAGAATTAGAAAAATGTTGAAGAAGAAAAGAGAGGATTCAGAGTAAGATCTGTCAGGAATTAGAGTAGATGAGTGATAGGATGTAGTTTTGGGATTTTAAATAGTAGGAGCAGTTCTTACATTGATGAATGGAGATATTGAAACTTCATAGACATCATTAGTTTATATCTTTTTACCAAAATGTGGTAACTTAAAGTTCATCTTTATATTTTAAATACTTTATTTTAAATGTTTTTTCAGTTATCACCACATGATAATCTGATTCTCAGTCAACCTGTTTCTTCACCTCTTCCACTAAGGCAAGTAAAACTTCATTTCTATGTATATTTCTCTGAATCTAGTGTAATGTTCTTATTTTTCCTCTTACTTCAAGGAATTTCAAATATGAATGCAAGTACTTCTCACTTAACTATTTCTTACCTAAATTCCTTTAGAGGTTAAGATTTTTCAAGAAAAAACATTGACTGCAGTGTTTGCTATTTTGCGTTTCCTCTTGTTATTGTCAAATACTGATTATTATATAAATAGGTTTATATGTATATAGATTAGTGAAACAGTTATTTTTTGCTTTAAATACCCTCTGAAAATACACAGATGTAATTTATCTTAAATTTAATCCTCACATAAAAAAAGTACATAGATAATAAATCATGAATCGGACAGTATATTTCATCACTTTAAAAAGTTCAAAGATACTATGAATTATGTTTTCTCTAAAGTATTTCTTGAAATTTAATTAGATGTAATCTTTCCAGCAGAGAATTAGTTATAATATAATTAAGTTATTTTGTCACCATTGACTTTGATTTTGTAAGAATTGCGTATTATTTCATCATTAGGTCTGGGCCTAGAATGACTGATATTTCACTAGTCTTTGTTTGAACTGAAAATAAACTGGAAATAGACTGAGACTATATAAAAACAATTAAATTTCCCCAGAGGACTTTTTCTGGGAGGTGGAGGAAGAATGACTTTATTGCTGCTATATGTTCTACACATCACACAATTCACCCAATTATATTGTACAATTCAGTGACTATCTTTCATATAATTCTAAAGCAATCACTACAATCAATTTTACAACGTTTTCATCTCTCTAAAAAGAAGCTTTGTATCCTTTAATAATTATTTTATTCTTCTCATCTTTACACACATAAACACACACATGTACATACAGCTCCTCAGCCCTAGGCAACCACTAATATATTTTCTGTCTCTGTAGACTTGCCTATCCTAGACTTTTTTATAAATAGAATCAAAACATGTGACCTTTTGTATTTGGCTTCCTTGAGCATATTCCAAGGTTCATCGATATTGTAGCATGCGTGCACAAGTAATTCATTCCTTTTTATTTCCAATAAATGACTCAATGTTTGGATATATAACAAATTTTATTTATCCATTCATCAGCTGATGGACATTTGGATTATTTCTTTTTGGCTGCTATAAATAATGCTGTTATGAATATACACAAGTTATTTTTGCTCATGTTTTTATTTCTTTAAGACTTGTTACTAGTTTTGTTTTACTTCAAATATATATGTATAATTATATTACTATAATTATTGTTATATTAAATATTATTATAATAATTTCAGTGAATCCAGTTATTTCACATTATATAAACAAAAATACTGGTTGGCTTGCTGAATTATTTTCTTAGTTAATCCAGTATTTTGTTGCCATCATAGAATGGCTGTTTTAGTTATTAATTTACTTTGTATGTGGATTCTTGTATGCTAACTCTTGATTTTTTATTACTGTTATTACAGTTGTAAAAATAATCTTTGTACTTGTAAATGAAAATTTTAACGTCTATTTACCTTAAGGAGGCAGGTTTGTAAGTCAGATAGCTTTTCTGATAGAGTGGAAGATAAGCCACATTAGAAACAAAACTGCCATGAAAGGCTTTGCCTTCAACCAAAGATGCCTCTTAAATAAATTGAATTCCTTACATGGACATTATCTACAAAGCAGGTCGTTTTATATAAATGGACTGTAGTGGAATAATATTGGGGCTTTGGTGGTAAACCTGGTATAATAACATTCAGTTGTAGAGGTCTGAACCTCTGCTCCCTAACTTATCATGTTATAAAAATCAGTGTTACCTGAATAATCCTAACTTTAAAAATAAATAAAATTAAACATCATACTCATATTGAAAATAATGCAGAAGATTAAAATTATTTTGAAACCTCAATAAATTTCAAGTAGTGTTTCTGATGCTGTGTTTTCCTACATAAAAGCACCAATCACATTTAAAGTTATATGTATACATAATACCTAATCATTCCCTAATCTTGAACATTGTTCAGTATTTGAGAGATATTTAGATCTTTTTCTTAATTATAATTTTTTTTTTTGGATTGACAGTGGTGGCAAGTTTTCAACACTACTTCAGAATTTAGGCCCTGAAAATGCTGTGACGTTATTGGTGTTTGCAGTAACAGAACATAAGATTCTCATCCATTCCTTACGGCCTTCTGTGCTTACTAGTGTGACAGAAGCATTAGTGTCTGTGAGTATCACAGTTTTTTATTGGCAATTTATTTTAAAACAAATTTATTCATAAATTTTAAAGCCTAATGCTTACCTTAAGAGTACTAAATTTTTATGTTGTGAAAAAATTTTGATTTTCCAACCCTTAACATCAGTTACAATTGTTTAAGTCATTATCAAGCCTTAGAACTGAGGTATAGCATTACAAAGGCAACTTTTTCTGTGTGTACTTTTAAGTTGTTTCAGTGTCAAAGTACTAAACCTCTCCTATCTTTTGTTTTTCCAAGATGATTTTCCCTTTCCACTGGCCATGCCCGTATGTTCCTCTCTGCCCACTGGCTTTAGCAGACGTCTTGAGTGCACCATGTCCATTCATAGTAGGAATTGATTCGAGATATTTCGATCTCTATGACCCTCCACCGGATGTTAGTTGTGTTGACCTAGATACCAACACCATTTCTCAGTAAGTATATTTTAATGAATCTTTACCAAATAATTTACAGCTTTATAATATATGTATGTAATTATTTTTGAATGCTAATTAGAATTCCTTTGAGTTATATTATGTTGTATTTGGGGACTATTATCATCTTTGAATCAACTCTTTTAATGCTTCATGCGATTAGAGAAGGAAAGATAAATATACCTTAATCCTCAAATTTTTAAATATTTAAGAATCAGTATAATCTTAGACTTCCCTAGAAATTTACAGAAGGGAAACTGAGATTTGAAATAGAAAAAACAGGGGCCTCCTAGTGGCAAAAGGGGTTAAGGCGCAGCACTATCCACTACAATTGTAGTATGATATCTATCCCTGGCCAAGGAAGTGACCCACGGGATACAGCAGAACTCTCCTGTCTTGCAGGCTGCTCCTCTCAGCAGTATATTTCAGTCAGTCTGCCTGTTCTGCTCCCCACTCTGTCTCTGGTGAATCCTCTCACCACAAACCCCCTCTCTGGCCTGTACCTCAGTTCTTGTATACATAAATAAATAATTGTTTTTTAAAAATAGAAAAATATTTTTTTTCTTTATTCAGATGGGTATGGCTGAAATTATAAACTGAATTAAAATGCTTTTCCTTGATTAGATTGACTATATTCCTATTTCTAGTCTTGGGTAATACTCTTAGAATACTAATATTTTATAGCAAAATTAATTACTTTTAAAATTATACACTTATCACCTTTATATACTAGGAATGTAAGGACTCTAAATTTCCTTTATTTTTATTGAAATAATATTTCAGTTGTAGCTATTGGAAGCTATAGCTATCTTTATAGTTTTTTACAGCTATATATATATTTTTTAAAAGATTTATTTATGTACACATATAAGAACTGGGGTACAGGCCAGAGGTACAGGAGGTGAGAGGATTCACCGGAGACTGAGTGGGGAACCGAACAGGAAAACTGGCCAAAATACTGAGAGGAGCAGTGGGTGGGTCAGGAGAGGTTGTGCCATGTGGGTCACCTCCCTGGCTGGGATTCAAGCTCAAGCTGCATTGGCTACAGATAGCTTCATCTTGCTGCACTTTAACCCACTGCACCACCAGGGAGGGACCTATACTATGTATTTTACAGCTTTTTTATAATTCAGTGTTTCTCTTGTATCCCCTATTTTCAATTTAAACTATTCAGGGAGAGGGAATTGACACAATAACCACATTGCATATAGAGGATATACTTAAAATAACTGCAGATTAGTCTATCAGTCTGCAAAATAGGTTTTTCTCCATTTTTTAATAAGCATTTTTATTTAATTCAGAAATCTTAGATTAATTCTAGTTTTTTTGTTTGTCAGAACCTCATGTGCCTAAACAGTAAAGAAAATTTAGCAAAAACAAAACTGTATTATAAAACACACATACTGTCAAAAAGCTTTTTTATTCAGAGAAAGCCTGACCAAGAAAAATATGGGCTATATTTTGTGCAGAAAGGCCATCATATATATAGGGCTGATAGAGTCAAAGACTATTTACCAAGAATATTTTATTCTTTACCAGGAATTTTCAACTCTTTAAATATTAAAGTAGTATCTCTTTTCTTTGTCAGTTGTTAATATTTTTAAAAATTGAGGTTGAGGGTAATAAGTGAACATAGACTTTGTCTATTATGGCAGTAACTTATATTTCCCTCTTTTTATACTTTCCCTCAACTTCTTAAAAGAATTTTCTTACTATTATTTTATCTATCTGTTTTGATTACTAGTGAGTTCAAGAATCAAAGAAACATGAATCATTTGCACTATTCAGTAATCCTCCTTGATATTATCACACAAACATGTAGGAGGACTAAATTAGTGAACTAACAGCTTTCTACTTTCCTTTACTCAGAATTTCTGAAGCCTCAAACCTGAAATTTAAAAGGAAAACAAGTCATGAGTATGGAATGTTCATTTCCTTTTCCCTTACTAATTCTTGGATACTTATGCAGAGTATGTTATGAATGTCAAGAAAATTCTGAAGGGAAATTCATATCTAATATGTATAAGGCTGAAAACTGTTTGCATAACCTATCTTATATTATTCTTTATACTTTGTGAAATAGGTTTTATTAATCCCTCTGACAGAGAAGGAAACCTATGGCTAGATTTTTAGGTAATTTTTTGTCGAAAGTCACAAAACTTGTGCTGCCAAAACTAGATTTTGAAGCTATTGCTGTTGGACTCCAAACTAATAACTCTGCCACATGAGCAGTTTAAGTTATGTAAATGAAAGTTACCATGAATAAAAATTCAGAAGGCTATCAAAAATCCAAACTCAGGTACAGGTAAACCTCACCTTTCTAGACAAGTTTTAGAATGAAAATATCAAGAGTAGGAGGAAGAAATGGTGTGAGTAAATAATTATAATTAAATATAATGAAATGTCAAGATATTGCTCATTCATTTGTGTTACAGCATATATTGAGTGTCCTTTTTTTCTCGTTACTAAGAGTAAAAAAAGCAAGTAAAGAAAAGCAAGCCAAGTATACTCTTCTTTTACATTGCTTTTAATCGAGTCTAGCAAAGCAGGCTGACTCACAGTGAATAAGGCAGAGTAAGAGTTATGTGTTGTAAAGCTTTATCAAGAAAATAATGTAAAATGTGTTTCTTCATTGTGTTCTACTGTAATAATGGATTCCATGCCCCTATTCACATTATAAATGAAATTAAACCTTCACAGCAGGACATCTGCAATTCAACCCTGCCCTGTCTATATTTTACTCATCTGTGGAAAGACAGAGTACATTCCATGATTGTTATTCTTTGTTATCTTATGCTTTCCACTCTTTTTTTCTTTGTTTAGTTTTCAAAGTGATTTTTGCTCTTTTTGTTCTGTGTAAAGTTTAGGGAACATAAAAAAAGAAAATGTTCAGCAAGTGCCACTACACATCTGTGCCATGTTATTGTCTTTAATGCTTAGGAGTAGTTTACTTTTCTACTTTTTCTCCGTATTTTTCAAGTTTTCCAAAATGAGTGTTCATTGTTCTTGACATAGCAAAAATGAAATAAAATGAAGGATAGAATCAGCAATGCTTAACAGCAGAATTAAGTGCAAACAAACACTTTATGGAGTTTTGTCACCTTGCTTTTCTTTCAAGCAGATATCCTCTTTTAGAGTTATAAAAGTACTTAGAATGTGGTAATTTATCCAAAGTAATTTAATTTCTACATATTTCTTTTCTCAAAGAAACGAAACAATTTTTCTGTACACTTTTAGGAAACAAAAATGAGTATTTTCACTTATCAAAATACTTTGATAAATGCTATGGGTCATAAGTTTACTTTTCCACAGAACTTTTTCCTGAATGTCTATTAAAAAAAATCTAGGATTTTCCCAATATAATATGTCTAAACTGTATTAAATTGAGGCTGAGAATAATGATACCATATTAAGCTTTGTAGTGATTAGTGTGACTGTAGTGCAAGTAGAATTTACTTAGAACAATGTAACTATAAATTTTGACCTATATTTAATACAGGTTCTACCCTCATATAAATAAATTTCTAAATATTCAAATAACCTGTGTAGGATGTTTCTCCTATTAGCTAAGATATTTTGTTTTATCTTTTACTCAGTGTGTTTTCTCTTTCTCTATCTCTCCCCAAGTTCATTTAACAAAATGCATTATTGTTGTCATTTAATCTCAGAACTGGTGACAAGAAAAATGTAGCCTGGAAGATACTTCCAAAGAAGCCATGTAAAAATCTGATGAACACACTGAATACTCTTCACCAGCAGTTGGCAAAATGTAAGTGGATAACTTAAATAAAGAAGTAATTTAATATGAGAAAGGATTCCAATTACTTTGCCTTACTTGTTAAAGGGTAATGTTTATTTAATATAAAGGAAAGTGTTTTTATAATCTTCAAAGTGAATGAGCATTAAAATAAAATTTGTATGAGCTTTTATAATTTTGATGAGTAATTTAACTTTGTTTTGTCACATTTTCATAAAACTGTTTTTTAAATGATAAAGTTTTTAAAAGGTAAGTTTCTTTAATTTTATGACTACTGAAATACCATGGTAAAAATAAGGATTTCCCCTGTATACTTTAGTCATATGTTGACTAGAAAGTTAGTTTGAAAAATCTAGGGTCTAAAATTTAAATAACATTAGAAAATGAATGCTTATGAGTTCAGTGGAATAAGACCTGGGTCATATGCTTTTCACCTTCAGTGAACCTTAATGCTATCTTTATCACAAATAATTTGAAGCTAGAAGTTTGCTAAATGCATCAGGAAATTAATAAAAATGAAAATTGGTTAAGATATATAATATTTCAGTAAAAAGTTTATATAAGGATATATCTTGACAGTGATCTAGAAGAATTAAACCTTCATTTCTTTATCTAATCCTCTTGGTATTTTGTAACAATGGTTCACTCGGGATCCATAATTTAGTACTTACTGTATGAAATATGGTTAGTAAGTATATAGTGATATTTGAAATTCTCATTCATGTATTAAATGAAATAAAAACCTAAAGGCTGGCTTGCATGCTTGTGGGTTCAAGTATCTATAGTATACTAGAAAAATAGGTATGAAAAAATACAGTCTTTACAAAAATAAACCTTACAACAGTTAGGTAATTTGGAAATAATTCATAAATACTGGTCTATAAGGAAGAGGACATCAAATAGAACAAAATTTTATTTTATAGAAAAATAAATTATGTACATAATCTTATTTAAGCTACTACATTAATTGCTTCTTTAAAGTACATGCCCTTTTTTTTTGCATATTTGAAAAATCCAGCAGCTATTTTAGCAATATTCCTGCTGAAGGGTAGAATCTTAAACAATATTGACAGACTTTTAAACAATATTGATAATCAAGGATCATATAATACTTTATAGCTTCAAATACTTTTAAATGTATTCCTTTATCTTTACAACCTTGAAGATGGTACAGTAGTTTGCCATTATTTATGTGATTGATAAGGATGAAGCTAGGATTAGAACGTCAGTCTTCTGTTCCAATGCCCACCTTCTTCCTAGTACTTCCCTTATAGAATAGATGCCCTTACACCCTCAAATGGAATGTATTTCCTAGCAAGAAGTACATTCTTCTACATAACTACAGTGTAACCATGAAATAAGGAAATTAAACTTAAGCATTATTGCCATCCTAATCCTCAAAACAAATTCAGGTTATGCCAGTTGTCATCATCATGATCTTTATATAGCAAAAGAATCCATATTTCAAATCAGGTGTTGTATTTCATGCCTTTAGTCTCGTGTTCTCTAAAACAGCTCTTCAATTTTGCTTTTTCCTTGACACTTGTAAATTATACTTAACTGCTATAGAATGGTCCATAATATGGATATGTTTCAGTATCCTTGTCATAAATACAGATCATGTGACCTTGGCACGAATGACAGAAGTAATGCTGCATCCTTATCAAATCTCATACTATTTCACCTTTTCCTGTTGCTGCTGATGATGTTCACTCAGATCACTTGATTATGGTGGCATCTACCAGGATTGTGTACTGTAAAGTTACTGTTTTACTTCCTAATGACTTGAGCATTGAATTGTTCAGGAACAAGAATTGTTTTCCACTTTCTAGTCCCTGTTCCCCCTATAAACACTTATATTTAAACAAAAGAGAAAAAGAGAGAAGGACTATGCTTCATTGATGTGGCTATTATGATCTTCTTTTATTAGTTTTTAAATGATTATTTCAGAACATAAACATTTATGTGTTTGCTATTCAGGTAAACTGGGAGACTTTTCCATTTAATTTGAATGAAAGTACTTAGAGACTAGAAAATTCTATTAAGTTAAGTAACAGAGTTAAGTAGCTTGAGTCTTATTGAAAACAATTTTTTTCCTTTCAGTTGTATTGAGATGTAGTTGACATGCAGCACTATAGTTTATGTATAGTACAGGTTCACTTACATTTATAACAAATTTATATTGACACTATTATGAACATTAGTTTTGACAGTTAGGAAAAAACACTAACACTGTATTTCTTCACAGTGCAGCAGAGACCAAGAGATGATGGACTAATGGACTTAGCAATGAATGACTATGACTTTAATTCTGGAAAGAGGTTGCACATGATAGATTTGGAAATCCAAGAGGCATTTTTGTTTTTCATGGCCTCTATTTTAAAAGGTTATAGATCATACTTAAGACCAATAACACAAGCACCATCTGAGACAGCCACAGATGCTAGTTCTCTTTTTGCCCTACAAGGTAAGTGATTGCTTAATTTTATAGCTTTCATATTATGGAGCTTAACTTGTGATGATTCAGTTGCTTTCTGGGTTAATAACTCACAATTACCAAAATACCTACCTATTTCAGGAGTATGTAAATACCAACTCTTTTGGTAATCCATTTCATAGGATTAGTTACTTCTCAGGCACTTAGATATAATCTCATTAGCAAAAGATGCAGAAGAAAACTGAAAAGTACAGAACTTCCTAATGTTGTACTGCTGTATTCTGTTGTGTCACATGTGTGTTAAGGTACCAATGCTTTTAGCTTTCAGAGCAACCAGACAGTGTTGGAGATGCAGAAGAGCCCCTTGGGTGGTCACCTTTTGATTTGAACCACCTCTTTTGTTTTACTTCAGTGTGGTTTACAAATACTATTTTCTGTCTGTGTCTCGACATAAAAAAAGGTTGGGAAACCCTGAAATGCAATCTGTGTCATAGTATGTATTTACTCTCCTTTGTAGTGTTTAATATTTGAAAGTAAAATTCATTTTATACGCATATATTGAATGGCTCCCAAGGCAAGACATTACATATATTAGATTTATATATACTATATATATATATTTCATATATGAAATATATATATATAGTATATATGAAAGACATATATGGTTACAAATGAAACAAGAAGATAAGCAATTTGAAAATAATATAACTAAACACTCACAGAAGGTACTTCTGGGAAAATCACATCTAAACCATGATTTGAAGGATTAGTGGAAACTAGCCAGGCGAAGGGAAAGTAGAAGTGTTTTAGGAAGGGAGAATAGTTTATGCAAAATCCCTGAGGCTGTCGAGTTGAGTAAAAGAAAACATAGGTGAATACCAGAGGGGATATTAACTCCTGCTTTAAAAAGCAAATGTGTGTGGAGAGTGAGCACATGCACATAATGTGAAACACATTTGTGGGAGTCTTAGCAATTTTAAAAATGCTTTCAAGTTTGCTAGTTCATTTGTTATCTTCAAAGTAGTGAGAGAACAGAAACAATGCTGAAGGAAGAATTGAAAGATCTGGGTTTACTTCCATTCTGGTTGCTATGTTTATCAGGCCACTTCCTCTTCCCCTTTTTAGGGATCTTTGTTCTTTTTTTACAAAAATGACAGGGTGTGGGGGATATAGATGGACCGGTTTGTAAAATTCCATCTTGCTCAGAAAATTGTATGAACCTATAAATGATACTATATATTTTGACATTATAAATTTATGTTGAACAGCTTTCTTAAGAAGTCGGGACCGCTCACATCAAAAATTCTATAACTTGATGACCAAAACACAAATGTTTATTCGCTTCATTGAGGAATGTTCTTTTGTCAGTGATAAAGATGCAAGTCTGGCGTTTTTTGATGATTGTGTAGATAAAGTAAGTAATAGTAATACTGTATGTCTGCAGTACCCTAACTTATTCATGTGACTGTTATGTCATGAGTCATAGTTTCTATTTATAACTTTGACCACTTGTAACAAAATCTAAATTCCATTAAACAGTTAACTTGTGTAATGAAAGTATTGGGTTGTTAGAAATTATGGAATACAACCTCCTTGTAGGATTTTACATGTTTTACCATGTTTTACCTCCATACTGCTTTCCACAAGGGGTAGGCCAGTCTGCAGGGAGAATACAAGTACCAGCAGTGGAGAAGAGTTCCCTTTTCTCTACATCCTTGCCAGCACTTGTTGTTTCTGAAAAAAGACATCCTTTGAGGGAAAATTTACCTTCTACATTTTGAATAACCTATTTACAAATGGACTATTAAAAATCTGCCTTTTTGTAAGTTGAGCCCTATCTATATAGAGGCAGAAATCCTACTGAGAAATGTCATACATAACTCATTGATTGTTTTGTCTCTATTCCAGCCTAGTACCAAGAACTTCCTTTTTCCTATTTCAATCAAAAATTTAAGTTTACCGTATTTGGTGCTTATAAAGTTAAATATAAATAGAAAGAAAGAATAAATTTAAAAGTATATTTTAAATAGGAAATATGCAATAAAATATGCAATAAACATTAAAACAAGAAAATTAAAAATTCTTCTAAATCCTTTCTTTACAAGAATAATTTTGTAGGTTTTTGTATTTAAAAGTATATTTTAAATAGGAAATATGCAATAAAATATGCAATAAACTGTTGACAACATTAAAACAAGAAAATTAAAAATTCTTCTAAATCCTTTCTTTACAAGAATAATTTTGTAGGTTTTTGTATATAAGAGTGTTTTTGAGGTTAAAGTCTCAGTGCTATCACGCTATCAGCAGCCATTGTAGCATGAGTTTGATCCCCACCAGGGAGATAACCCATATGGTGCAGCAGACATCCACTGCAGTGTATTTCAGTAGGTCTGCCTGTTTTGCTCCCTGCTGTCTGGTGAATCCTCTCATGCCCCCCACCCCCATACCTCTGGCCTACACCCCAGTTCTTATATGCATAAAGAAGTAAAAAAAAAAAAAAGGATTTGAAAAAAAGTTTTTGACTGCCATTATACACTTTGAATGTTTTTCCTGTATGGCTAGGCTTCCACTGGTCATCTTATGTTCTCACTGACTTTTCCTTGGGGAACATGGCATATGTTTGTCTTCAATTAACTGTACCAAGCTAACTGAAGAAGCAAATTAGTTACCATTATTTAGCTATTCAATTATTAGCACAGAAGAAAGAAATATTGTGTCATTCTCTTTTATTTTCCTTTTCATTTAATGTATCTTGTTTACAAGTTTGTGTTGCAGCTACTAACTGGTACTACAGTTTCATATGGTTGAAAAAACTACTTATGTTATAAGATATACAAGACCATAATTTTTCTCAGTACATAGAGCATCATGTTCTAAGGATCATATTTTGGTAAAGTAGACCACCTCCTGTTTATTTGCTAGGAGTCAATGCAGGACATGATTGGAATAATTGTTTAAGGAATAGAAAGTCTGAGAAGTCTCAAAAAGAAACAATCCTTTTAAATGTATTATAACTGCTATTTCTATATTTTCCTAAAATGCTGTGTACCTACTGAAAGTCTAGAGTCAATAAAAGATCACTTATGCATAATGGATTATAAAGATATGAGTGACTACTAAGAAAGTCAGAACAGAAAACTAATTTACTGAAAAACAGATACATGTGTTTGCTTTCTTATAATTTAAGGAGCTCTTTTATTAGAGAAAATAACCTGTCAGAGATTATATATATATATATATATATATATATTTAAAACCTTTATATATGAGTAGAGGGTAATTGTACTAGTGTTACTAAGCAAACTTTCTGAAATATCAAATAATCATACAGTGCTGTTACTCTTTCATATTTTAGTACCACAATTTATGTGCATTCAACACAGCAAGTGAGCTCTTGCTTTTAATCTGCAAGTGTTTTCTGATATACCAATATTTGTTTTTAAAGATTTATTTTACTAATCTATGCATACAAGAGCTAGCCAGTAGTGTTGGGAATGAGAGAATGGGGAGTAGTACAGGCAGATTGACTGAAATACACTGAGGAGAACAGCAGGCAGCAGGCAAGACAGGAGATGTCTGCTGTGCCATGTGGGTTAGTTAGCTTTCTGGCAGGGGATTGAACCCATGCTACAGCGGCTGGTGACAGCTTGATAGTGCTTAGACCTAACCTCCTGTGTGACCTGGGAGACCCTGAATACCAATAATATCTTAAAGTTAATTATTTATGTGGCATTATTCCTTACTTGAGTAACTTTGAACTAATTTTTAAAGTAAAAGGATTCTCCTACTTCTGGCAGTATAGCTTGGAAAATAAATAATACTAAAGATTCATTAACTGCCTAAGCCTATCCAAGGCTAAGATTGATCAGAAATTAGATATAGTCCTCTTTTGATTTTAGTATATCCAAACAAAACATAACTGACTTTAAAAACCTGAGGTAGGTAATGCTGAATAAGAATAAGAAAGACAACATTTGAAAATTATTTGAGTTTCATTTATGACTAATTTAAGAACCATGTGTTCATCATATTATTATATTTTGAATCCTTACAATCTGTTCCAGTAGGATGGATCTTAACTAAGGGCAGTTTTGTGTAGCAAATAGCCTGGTAAGATTTTCTTGGTCTCCCAAGCCTGCCTTTGCAGTGTTTTCTGAACATATTAATGTCTTGTGAAAAAAAATATGAAGAGAATATGAAAATTATTTTAATTTTATCCTGCTGTGGGTGTTGGTTTTCTTTTTCTCCTGACGGAGACAGATGTCACTATGTTTTTAAAAGACAGAAATGTCCAATTGATAAATGTAGAATTTGTTGCATGGTTATTTTTATAATGTCAAAATGTCAATTTCTGGTATACAGAATAAGGGAAATATGTTTTACTATGGTATTGAAACTGTGATGCAAATTTTTAATATTTTATTAAACTTTACTGACAATTCAAGCAGTTATCCTTGAACACAGTTTTTTATCTATGTGAACAAAGTGGCTAGAGAGTGGGAAGAAGATACATGTCTGGAAAAGTAAAAATGGTTAAAAAGAGGGTGAACAATTAAATAAATGCATGAAAATGTTAACACACTCCATACTCTTAGACAAGCATTTCTCTTATGATACATCCTGGAGAAACAGATTACTCTCCAATGACCTTGTACATTTGTTTTAAACTTTTAATTCTGGTTTGCTTCTTATTTCATTATCACTGCTGCCTTTATAATTAAATTAACCACATTTCTTCTGCATAAAAATGAGTTTAGAGCTTTTCCTTTATTCTTGGGTTTTTGGTGGATACCACATCCTACTCTAGATACCTGTGATTTTGAGTTAGCATTGACATGTTCCTAATGTTGTTCAGTATGATTCTGTTTTTTTTTTTTAAACTAACAACTGCACCGGCATTTTTTTTTAATGTTTTATATTTGCTAATAATGTCATAAGTATTCTGTTTGATTTTTTCACGTTTTTCTTAGATGGCTTAAGTAACAAAGTGTGGAAAAGGAAAAACAACATTAGGAACTCCATAAGCCCAGTCACCAATAATATCCATTTTCTACTTAGTTCAAATGTTTTTTACGTAATTGTAATATAGTTTCCCAATTTATTATTTACCCAGATCTTAGAAGCATTTTGAATATTGCTGCCAAATCTTTTATTTTTATTTATGCATACAGAACTGGGGTACAGGCCAGAGGTGCAGGGGCAGTGAGAGGATTCACCAGAGACAGAGTGGGGAGCAGAACAGGCTGACTGATGAAGTACACTGCTGAGGGGAGCAGCAAGCAGTCCAGGAAAGGTCTGCGGAGCCATGTGGATCACCTCCGGAGTGGGGATCAAACTCATGCTGAAGTGGCTTTAGCTTCTTAGTGTAGTGCTTTAACCCGCTGTGCCACCAGGGAGGGCCCACATACAATGTTTTGCACATTTTTATTTTCACATTTTTTTCTTGAAGGTCTTTCCATAGTGAAACATAGAAAATTTGTTTACCCTTTTTGTTTTCTTAATTTTGTTCTTTAGCATATAGTTATGTAAGTGGTTTATTTAATTTTTCCTCCATAGATAAGCACTTGACTAACGTATTTTTTTAATGTATGCTTTTTAAACTCTTCAGGTGGATATAGACAAGAATAGTGAAGTGCGACTTATAGAACTGGATGAATCTTTCAAAAGTGAACATACTGTTTTTGTAACACCACCTGAGATCCCCCACCTACCCAATGGTGAAGAACCCCCATTGCAGTACAGGTACTCAAGAGGCAGAATATTTGAGATTGAAAGAGAAGCAATCATCATCTGTGACGTAGATTTCTAAGGACTGGTATTTTCAAAAGTCCAAACTTTACAGATCCTTAATTTTTAGGTGGTAAGCAAGCTTATCCCGCATCCATTATTAAGTTTTGAAGAATAAAAAAGAAAAAATTCTGTATAATATAGATTTGGGACGCTCTCTATATCTGCATAAATATCTGTTCTCATAAACATTGATTAAACTCAGTTAGGATCTTACCCAAACAACATTCAGCAATTTTATATAGAATTTTGCTTTTTGTTTCTCACTAAAGCTGGTTTCCTCACTTCCATCCTCTCACTCCAGGCACATTGATCAAGGTAACCTTGTTTTATAAAAGGGGTAACTCTTAATTTAGAGTCAGTATTTGTGGCCTTAATTTAGATGATATAATATCTCTAAGCTATTTCTCTTTCCATGAGTGTTTATGTCACAGAAATTGAGAACTATTGGAATTGATCATTATTAATTTAAGAAACTACTAAATTCTTGGCATAATAGACTTGAATAATGCATTGTTCCTGCCTTCAAGTCCAATGGGAAAGAAAGAAAGGTCCTGAGCACAGGCCTTAGGCTTGTGATAGTGATAGATGTGCATTTGTCTATATATGTATATTAAACATATACATTTTGTTAGAATTAGTTTCTGGTATACATTTATTTTTACTTAAGTGGTACTTCCTTTAAGATTTGAAATGGAATTTTTAAATTCTCTAATAATAGCTTCCTTTATTTAAAGTAAGTAAATTCTAAAGATTTAAAGAATCTAACACCATATGACATCTATCATTCTGTTAGTTTTTGTTTTTATGGAAAATGGATTTTCAAGAGATCCTCATTTATCATTTGGATTAATTCTTCCTTTTACAGATGAAGTGGTGTAACAAATGTTTGTGAATGTTGATTAATTTATATGCACTGATTTCTGCCCTTATTTTTCATCCATCAATGATGTTACTCATATCACTTTTTAAAAGACTGTCTTTTGTCAAAGATATTTAAAATATTTCTACTTTCTCTTTCTCTCTTGTTTTTATTTCTCAACAAGATCTCATTTATTTCTTTGGTATATTATACTTCTAAGACCTTTTTAGTATATTTTACTTACTAAAGTACAGCTTTCTGGGGTTGGTTTTTTTTTTTTTGGAGTTTTGTTTTAACATAATAATTTAGATTTTTACTTCTAGATTGAGTTCTTTAATAAGAAAATCCCTACCTTATAAAGTTCCCATTTTTTAAGCAATCTGTTTTTTTTTGAGATTACAAATACAATCTTGATATAATCATACTTATCATTGGAAAAGTAACTTAAAATAAATGTCTTTAATGATCATAGTGGGTTCTCTTAATGCAAGACGACTCACATATGTATGTAGTCTATATAAATTGGTAAAATAGTACATTTCCATAGGATACACATAATTGATCTTATCATGTGCATACTATGAATTTTTTAAGGGACATGGTTTTCCGGAACTTGCTATTTTATTCCTGCTTAACCTTCAGTCATTTGGTATTTTCTTATTCCATTGAATTTGCCTCCAGTAATACAGAACTTGCTGTACTTTATGATATTTATTTTCTTAGTTAATTAAGACTATTTACATGCTTTAAGAGTATTACAAAGGTTAAGTTTGCTGATTGGAGGCTTCTTCTGTTCTTTTCAGTTTGTCTTTTTCCTATACCTCTGCTACCTTTTAAATGCCCAGTACATCTTGCTCTCGCATCCAGATTAGGCTACCTCCTCACAGTACCATATAATCTATCATTTTCTTAACTCCTTTCCAGACTCTCTCATTCACTTTCTCATAGGTGAGGCCCTGAATTGCTTAGCTGACCTGATAAATGAATTCATGATAATATGAGTGCTTGTTTTGGTATGCTAATATGTTACTTGCACCTTTTAATGATGAGGTTCTAATTAATATACAGTTAATCAATAACAGCTAACTGTTTATCCAGTTTGAAAGAGTATTGATTTCATTGACCCTCTGTCAGGTGCCATATTATTTGCTGTTTACCATGTATTTACATAAATGTGAATTTTAAAATATGCATGAGTGACTTTGGTTTTAATGTCAAGTTCAGCAAAATTTAGATGTATTTTACTTTTTTCTCTAAAGCATGTACTTGAGTTTATATTTGGCCATTACATTTCTTAATTTCATAGTAAGAAAATGACATTTGTTGAATATTTGTTCATTTGTATGAATATTTATTGAGTATATATCAGTCTGATACAAAAAGATGGTTAAGTTCTGTGCTAAGAAGTTACTGGTTATAATTGTTTTTGCCTTAGTCAGTGTGATCATCTACTTGTGTTTGAGGATTTTTTTTTTCTTTTCAAAAACAGCTATAATGGATTTCCAGTTCTTAGGAACAATTTATTTGAAAGACCTGAAGGATTTCTACAACCACGAAAGAGTAAATTGCCTTCAAAATCAAGTAGTCCCAGTAGCCCTTCTCCCATGTTCAGAAGAACAAAACAGGTACTTTGAAAATTTTGCATTCTCTATGTGGTCAAATATCAGTACAAAAGTAAATTTGATACTCAAATTCCCATCTACCTCAATTACTACTGCTAGATTATTTTGCTGTCCAAAGTATGCTAAAAATAATTTAGAGTAATCTAACTTACTTAAATCATTAATTCATTTTCTTGTCCTAGGACTTTATTTCATATTGTATAGTACAAACTCAAGCAAAAGCTTATGTCTATTCACATAAATTATTCAGAGATTTTGCTAAGGAAACATCATAAAAGTATGTGATTGTCCACATTTAAATAAGGGTGCTTAAATGTATAAATTTATTAATAACATCCTTGCATTTTTCCCCAGGAAATTAAATCAGCCCATAAAATTGCCAAGAGGTATTCTTCCATCCCTCAAATGTGGTCTAGGTGTCTACTACGTCACTGTTATGGACTGTGGTTTATTTGTCTCCCAGCTTATGTGAAAGTATGTCATTCAAAAGTAAGGGCGCTGAAAACAGCATATGATGTGCTCAAAAAAATGCAGTCAAAGAAGATGGATCCACCTGATGAGGTAAAAAGTATTCTTTAAAACGGACTAATTTATTCTAAGTTCACTAGCTACTTTGTTTCTGTACATTTTTGAACTTACTGTGTTTCAGGTGTGCTACCGCATTCTGATGCAGCTCTGTGGACAGTATGACCAGCCAGTGCTTGCAGTGCGAGTCCTTTTTGAAATGCAGAAAGCTGGTATTGACCCCAATGCCATTACGTATGGCTATTACAATAAGGTAATTACTTTGGTTTACTGGAGAAAGTGTATTATTTTGTGATTATACATCCATAATTTAATGGCTGAAGTAATTGATCTGGGATTATTTAGCATATTTTTAGAGTACAACTTATTTTGTAAATCAGGGGTTTTTTTTGTTTTATGTTATATAATTTACTTTGTAGATATTATTTAGTGTGACTCTAAAGCCAGTTTGTGTTCATTTATAAAAATTCTTGTACTGATTATTTTGTTTTGTTGAATGACTAGGCTGTTTTGGAAAGTACCTGGCCTTCAAGAAGTCGTAGTGGCTATTTTCTTTGGACAAAAGTAAGAAATGTTGTTTTAGGAGTAGCACAATTCAAAAGAGCTCTAAAGAAACATGCACACTTATCACAAACAACTCTCTCAGGTAACTAAAGCTTTTAAAAATACATGTGCTTTACCTTTCCTTTAAAATTAATGGACTGTTTACATTTTACATTTTTAAAAATTTAAAAGTTTTTAAAAAACAATGTTTTCTAGTTTTTATTGTCATTACAGTAATCCTAATGTTAAGAATTTTCTTCCCATTTAAAAAGCACCAAATTTCCCTTTCTTTTTCTTGTAACTGTTAAATTATCATCCTTTGTTAGTCTGATTTTAGTAGTGATAATTCACAATAGGTTTCTTCATCATAGTTGAATATTGCTAATGATGTGGCACTTTTCATGTTAAGTATTAGTAAATTAGTAGCTTGAGTGACAAACTAATGTGTAATTTTGGTATCTCCTTGAGTAGTAAAATGCTGTCAAATTGTGTTCTTAAGCAGATGGCAGTGACCTGGATGCTGTTAGTCATGGCAGCATGGATAGTGGTCATGGGACACACACTGTGGAACAGGCACCTTTTAATACAGGTTTAAGCAAAGTATATGCCACTGATGATAGATCTAGTACAGGTTTGTGTGTGCTTATGTATACATTTATTACAGTACATCTTAAAAGCTAGATTTGCTAGTCATTTTTAGATTCTAATTTTCAATGATATATTTAACTGTAAAGTTTTAATTTTATATGTTAGGTACTTGATCTGAATTTGATAACTACATGTAATTTTATTCTTTATTTGAATAAAAATAAAAGTTTGAGAGGTTATAAAGTAGCTCATACAGATATTTCATCCAATGATAATGCAGTTAATTCAAGATAGTACACAAATCTCTTTATCATATTACTTTCTTAGGATAAATTCTTTGCATTATGAAGATGTTATTAGAGTTTGCAAAAAGAAACTTCAGTCCCCATGTGAATTAATGGTACCATACGATATCAGTTTCCTGGCTTTCATAATATGTTGTGTTTTATATGAGATATAAGCATTAGAGGAATGGTACACAGGAACTTTCTGTACTGTATTATTTTTGCATCCTCTTGTGAGTTTTAAACTATATTAAAGTAAAAATTTGTAATAAAAATTGTTACATGTATAGAAAACCTTAACATTCTAGCATGAAAATGGTATTAATTTCATTAAAATATAAAACTTGTGCATAAGCTGCCCCTAATTACTATTTAATGAAACAACTTAAAATTACTTGGATAATTCTGTCCTTTTAATTATTACATTTAAAATAATTCACATGACTTTTGAATATTGTGTAAGAGTCACCTCTTAATGAGCAGAAACTTCAAAATTAAAAACCCAAACATTAAAAATAAAATGCCGGGCTCTCCCTGGTGGTACAATGGTTAAAGCCCCACACTATGAAACTCTGCGAAGCCACTGCAGCACGAGTTCTTTCCCCAGCCAGGGAGCTGACCCACATAGCTTGGCAGACCTCTCCTGACCCACCCACTGCTCCACTCAGCAGTGTATTCATTAGGTCTGCCTGTTTTGTTCCCCACTCTGTCTGTGGTGAATCCTCTCACCCACCTCACCTCTGGCCTGTACCCTAGTAATGTAAGTATAAATAAATAAATCTTTAAAAATAAATAAATAAAAATATCTCTGCAAATGGTAATGTCATTTTAGACTACCTCCTTTAATGCTCGTTTTTAAGAATAGTCAATGTAAGCTAATTGTGTGGCAATGTAATTTTTATACTTCTTGTTCTTTGGCTGACTTTATTTTTTATTATGTCATATAAATTTAATCAGTTACAGTAGTCACCTTTAGGCATTATCTCTTCAAAATGAGAAACCACTTGTTTTTAATTATAGCCTTTAGAGGCTCTGTTAAAGCAATACAGGACTTAATAAAACTCTGAATTTCATCAAGATTTGTCTTCACATTTTTAACTTTGTGGTTTCTTTGCAAATGGAGGTAAAAGTTTGATTATAATTTTGAGCTTGTATTTATTTCTAACAAGGATACTAGCATAAATACCTAGTGATACTTAATACAAGTCATTTAGATAACTCTTTACAAGTTTATAAAACCATTCCTTACATAATCTTTCATGTATTATTAACCTGGGAACTTGAGATCCAAATAAAAGGTTAAGTGGTTTACGTAAGTTCATGCCTCCTAATATAGAAGAAGTAGGATTCAAATGTTACATTTGATGCTAGTGAAAACAGTTTGCTGGAAATTACAGAATCTCTTTAACGGAACTATGTGTTAAAAATTTTCTTATTATCAGTCCCTCCCTGGTGGTGCAGCGGGTTAAAGCAAGCACTAACAGACTAAAGCCACTTCAGCATAAATTCAATCCCTAGCTCCGGAGGTAATCCACGTGGCTTGGCAGACCTCTCCTGACCTGCCTGCTGCTCCCCTCAGCAGTGTACTTCATCAGTCAGCCTATTCTGCTCCCCACTCTGTCTTTAGTGAAGCCTCTTGCTACCCCTGCACCACCTCTGGCCTGTACCCCAGTTCTGTATGCATAAATAAATCTTTAAAAAAAAAGTTTTCTTATTATCAACATGACTCTTTTCTTAATGACAGCATTAGCTTTTTTCTTACAGTTGGACTTATGTTCAAGTCCAACAAAATGATTATTCAATTAACTTTTGAATAATATTGATTATCAGTTATTTTAAATACCTCCCCCCCTTTTTAGAAAAATCATTTAGATACTCAACTCTAGCAACCTGTGTTACTAGATGCTAGATGTTCTATTATGAATTTCCTGCAGATTTCTTTGTTGTGTACTTGGAAATCAGCCTTTTGACTAGAAAAATCATAGGCTTCTATAAAAAATTATTTGTATGTATTAATGTATCTAGTTAGTTTTGACTAGTGGGAAGCCAGAAATAAGTTCTTTTGAGATCGTCCTGTTCTCATATTAATAGACATCAGGGAGAGCTAACAAAATAATGTTTTTGATTGCAATAAGCCAGAAAAATTTATATACGTAAATTCTAACACTAATATGTTGCTCCTAATTCTGGTTGTTCTCAGTAAATAAGTTTATGATAAACAGCATTGGAGGTTTTTTGTTTTTTTTTTCCTGTTATCTCAGGTGGCCAATCTGATCTTGGATATAATTCCTTATCTAAGGATGAAGTTAGAAGAGGGGATACATCTGCTGAGGACATTCAAGAAGAAAAAGATAAGAAAGGGAGTGATTCTAGTTCGTGTAGGTATTGTTTAAATTGATATTTTGTAAATCTGGGAACATAACATTAATAAAAATACAAGACTTTAATTACAAAAGTGTTAATTGTATTGTGCACTTTCCCATTATAATTCCTTCTTTTCTCTCAGTATAAGCCCTCTCTGCAACCTAATATTCCAACATTCAAATGTTTCATGTATGAAGAGTGGCAAAGTGCTCTCCAATCAAACACTACTCTAGTAGTGACTGTTTTCTGAGGTTTAACATTATTTTTATTTAATGCTTTTATTTATGGCCTATTACTTAGACTTTTTTCCTTCATCCCCCCACCAGAAGTAGTATTTTCAACCAAATAAGAAGTATAAAATATATGCATGGACTTCACATATGACTAGAATTAGTCATTTGATCTATACCGTGAGGACTCAAATAAGTACAGTCAGTTATTTGTGATTGATAAATAGATACAGAAGTGTTCAATATTTTTAACCATATTTCAGATATAAGTATGTAGAACTAAAAGCTACTGCTGTGTATGCCTCCTCTGATATATAATTTTTTATCCTCATAGTATCAGAGAATGAGAGTGCAAAAGGAAGTACTGATTGCCTTCCTAAGTTCAATTATCAAGGTTCTTCCAGTATTGTCCGCCTCAGTGATGCAAGTAACAACAGTGAAGATAAAATATCAGGAGAAAGCACAGGTGAGTTCAATAGTATACCTTTGTTCCTTTGTTATGTGCAGAATTACTTGTATCTGTATTTTTTTAAGTGTATTTAATTCAAGCCTATTCCAACTCTCTTGTCCAGTTCTTGGTACAATTTTTAGTTTGACATACTTTAACCTCTTTTGTTATCTTTTTTTACTACACTTTGAGGTGTTATTATAATGTTTTCCAGTTATTAGTTTTTTTATTTCTTTTTTCAAGTACAGGAATATGTGATAAGGGGTTAATGTGTCTCTGGATTTATGGAACAACTGTCAAGGTTATAGATATGAAATGTTTAAATGGATGGGATGTGGAGCAAATATGCTAGAAAAATGCTTTTTTAGGGCTTTTGTTTCCTAAAATATAAAACATGTTGGTGTTCAAAGCATTTTCAGTTTTATTTATGTTTTGCAGTACAGTTTATAGTTATGTAGATAACTGTGACAGTTTCTAAAAATATGGAGGTAAAATAATCAAAGAGATGTTTCAATGTTTGATTGGATACTGAAATAGTTTTACCACCCTATAGCTATTTCATGATTATCCTGAGAATTTCGCATTTAATATGAACTACTTACAGTTTACCACAAGAACACTTATTTGGAAATGAAATGTACTCTGAAATATGAGGACATGTTTTTCTGAACCTAATTCTGGTTTTAGTATTTAACTTTTTATGTCTGTGTTCAACTATAATATATCATACTATAATATTGCAATTGTATTCTGGATTAGTCAATTGGTGGCAGTTGTTTCCCCAATAGACAGTAATAATTCATTCAGGAATAATTTTTTGAGCTCCTACTTTGCTACCAAAGCCAGAAGCTTTGGGGACTATAATAAGGAACAAAAAATAAACATGCTTCCTGCCATCATCAGGTGGGAGGAATGGAGAAACATTGATCACATAATCAAATAAATGTAAAAATATCTGAGATTAAATACTGTGTGTGAATCAGGGCTGTGGGTTGCTAGGAGAACATATAGTGGAGATGTGTCCTGAATTAAGGGAGACATTAATCAGGCAGACTTCCTTGAGAATATGGTTTTTGAGCATGGATCAAAGGGCTGAGTAGAAAGCAAATGTGAATGGGCTGTGAAGGAGGAACTGAGAGGAAGTAGGGAGTATTCTAAACAGAAAGAAGCAATAGGTAAGATGCTATATTGTAGAAAAGGATTACAGCATATTCAGACATCTAACAAAAAGCTGATTTTGTCAACTAGGAATTCTTTCAGCTTTCAGTCTCAGAAAATATGATTCACAATGACATAAACAAGTTGACATTTATTTTTCTTAAGTAGGAAGTTTATAGGTAAATAATTGCCTCAAGATGTTGGCTTAAGGGCTTTGTCATCAGTTCTTATGACCACTGGTGACTTTGGGTTTCACTGTTCTGCAAGGCAAAAAGAATGGCAAAGGGGGACACCAGTCACATCTACTTTTCGGGGTTTCAGAAAACCTCAAAAACTTCCATTTTAACATTATGGGCCATAATTATGTTACAGAGGCAAACACTTGGTACAGAGAAGCTATATAATTGCAGCCTCTGTTAGAAACTTTTTCTGGTTGAAGTTAACATATATATAAACTTAAACTCAGACTAACTTTTCTGTAAATGTAAATATTTTGTGTCTACAGGCTCCATTCAGTCTCCATTCATACCTGTACTGTGTATGTGTGTGTGTTTCTGTGATTTTTACACCCTTTAAAAAGTAAAAAACATTTCACACTGAACAAAAACAGTCCTACAGGCCAGATTTGGCTCCAAACCCTGGTACAGTTCAGTAGCCAACACTGCCTTTTGGCTGTAAGGGTAGTTGTGACTGCAAAGGAACCCTTACTTCTATTTAAATGCAGTCCCAGAGTACTATCTTTGGATTATAAGGTTCCTTGTTGACAATATATATTTTTTTTTAATTTTTATTTTATAACAGTTTATTTTTACATCATTTTGTACATTTTTTTTCCATCTCAATTGTAATCCCCGCGGGTTTCCCATCACCAAATCACCCGTGTACCATGACCATAATCCCGTGCACTTCCCTCCCCACCCCACCCCCATTTTTGATCCCATTCCCC